CAGCCAGCATGTATATTAGCAAAAGAATACTGAAAAATATTAGTGTTAAAGAAGTAGTGAAGTTAAATGGGAAAGAACTGTCAGGTCAAGGCCTGCCCACAATTTTGTTTTGTATTCTAATTTCCTTTTGCAAGTTAAATGATCTTATAATGATTTGGCTTAGGATAGTACAAAAACATTTCCTGTAATGTAGGGCCAGTAATATTTATTAAAATGCCCAGAAAACAATAGCAATTCCTGTCTTCCACTTCCCCTATTGTTAACTTTTCTACTAGCACTAGAGACCTTGTACTTACTTGGATAATCAGAATCTCTTTTAGGAGTACCTTGACCTGATAGCCTTGAAATCCTTTACTCTCTGGAGATGTTCACTCTTGCTTTAGATGTATGTTAATATGAAAGATCATGTAGAATAGACTTACAACTTCTACTTTTTCTATCCATATTACTTATTAAGTGGGATTTATACTAATCTTGCTGACAGGGAGAATCTGGTTTCCTTCACATGATTAAGTGGCAAAATGGAGTGAAATGTCCAGAGAGTGATTATGCTAAGAGTTAATTTAAGTAGGTTAGCAATCACATAAAACATCTTGCCTGAAACCCAAGAGTAAACTTCTGAATCATGAATGCAAGCAGTGCTATAGATACAAATACATACATTTTCAAAAGTTAAATATTCCATTAAATATTTTCTTTAGATTAAAAAAGTCAGATTCTGTATTAGTTATCCATTGCTATGTAAGAAATTATCCCACAGCTTAACAGTTTAATAAAAGAACTAATGATTTACTTCGCATGTAATTTCTGAAAGTCGGGAATCTGGGAATGGTTTAGCTATGTAGTTTTGGCTCCAGTTCTTTCAGGAGAGTTGTTCAAATTATCAACCAAGGCTGCCGTTGGGTTTGGTCTTTCCTGGAGTTGGAGAATCCACCCCAAGTTCACTCACATGGTTGTTAGTAGCCTTCATTCCTTCACTTGTTGTTGGCCAGAGGCTTCATTTGTTGGCCATGTAGACTTCCCTATAGGGTTGCTTGCTCCATGGCAGCTGCTTTCCCCTAGAGCACAAAGAGATCCGTGAGAGAGAACCTAAGATAGAAACTGCAGGTTTTTTATAAGTTAATCTCAGACCTGGTATGCCATCACTTCTGCTGCATGCCATGGACCACACAGACTAACCCAGGTACAGTGTACAAGGGTGTAAATACCCAGTAGCAGGAATTAATGGGGTTATCTTGGAAACCAACTGCTACAGTTGATATTTAGTTATCAATTAGAAAGCAAATCCTATCATCCACTTTTGTCTTTGTGCTTTGCCATATTTAATTAAACCCATGATAGGGTTTTGTCATATAACATTCTAGAAATATATATTGAGTGTCCACTATATGCTTGGCACTGGGATTTTAATAACTCTCTAAAAGTCCCACCTGGAGAAGAAGTTAGACTTGGGATATATTTTGACGTTTGAACCAATATAACTTTCGTGGATTGGATTCCAGTGGAGAGTGAGAGAAAGAATAATGTAGGTGATATCTTTTTGCTTTGGACAACTGTATAAAAGTGATAATGATATGGGGAAAACTGGATAGGAGTGGGAGGTTTTTGTGGTAGAAGATGATTAAAGTTTATTTCAGATGAACATGTTGAGTAAGGCAGAAGAGGACACATGCTTCTGAAGTGACCCCTATCAGTAGCTAACAACTGGAGGGTTTCTTACTGTTATGTTCCTACTTCCTAATATAGCACCTGTTACAGAATAGACATATGGCAAACAATGGGTGGATGGATGCATGATAACTAGGCATTATTGTCATTAGTATCTCCACTTTACAGGACAGAAAAGTGAATCATAACAAGGTAAAGCGACTCTCTCCTAGGTCAGCCAGCCAGTATGTGGTCAAGACTTGAACACCTGTGGTGTGACTCCAGAGTCTGTGCTTCTGTGAATTGCGCCATACTTATTATTATTCTCATGGCATACTTCATTCTCTATATCTGTACTCCTCTGTATCAGTTGGGTTGGAGAGATGGAGTAATAAAAGTGATACTTGGGTGAAACATGAAGACTGTTGGTGAGCAGAATGGCACCTGCATTCTTAGAAGAAGAATTCACTTTGGTATAATCCTATTGTGATAATTCAACCAGGTAAACCATCTTTGGGTTTAAACCATATTTGAAGAGAAAATAAAATGCCTGTCAGCCACATACCTATGTCCTATTAAAGGCTCAAGTTTACTTGCATATCTCTGTGAGTCTCAAGGTCTTCTGAAAGGTCTTTGTTTGAGAAAAGAATGGGATAAGGCCACTCCTGCTGAATATATGTGGATTCATCCCATATGAAAAGATATTCAGTTCATCAATGACTAGAAAATGTAAAACACTGACTCTGACATACATGCATTAGCTGGTTTTCATTGTTAGCCTTACTTTACTCAGATGAAAGCCATTATTGAGATTGCACTTCAGAGTGCCCCTAATGAATATAGGAAAGAATGACTTGACAGTGGGAATTAGTACGATACATTATGGTGGTTGTAGAATAAATCAGTATTGTTTACTTTTTAAAGATTTTGTTTACCTTAGTTTATTGCTGTTTTAGTCACACAGAGGTTTTCAGGCTTTATGTAGTCTGGTTGTTTCATGTTTTTCTTTATGACTTGTGGGTTTTGGTCAAACCTAGAAAGGCCCTTCCTTATCAAGAAGTTATAAAGAAGGAGAGGAAGGGATGCAAAGAGAATAAAAGGTAACTCTGGAGGTAATGAATGCTAACTAGCTTGATTGTGGTGATTATTTCACAATGTGTGTTTGTATGAAACCATCACATAGTACACCTTAAATATATATGGTTTTTGTCAATTATACATCAGTAAAGGTGAAAAAAGATTTTAAAAAAGAAGTTATAAAGATATTCTTTTGTATTTCTAATACTTCTTCAATTTTGTTTTTTAATGTAAGTAATTAAATTTTTATATATTGAGAAAGTATAATAGCCTTTTTTTCAAATGGTTAGCTAAAACACATCTTATTGAATAGACATCTTCATATTTTCACAAAATCTACATTCTACCGTTTTCTGTATTTTTATTTACAGCTGCACCACTTTTCTTTTTTATATAAACCTAGCATCTTGGCAATTTGTCTGTTTTCCTTTCTTTCTTAGTTCAAGCACTAAAAGAGTGAAATAAGTATGGCTCCAGGTTTTATGGTTTTGCAAGGTGTCACCTCCAGAAAGTACAATTTTTGAATCAATCATTTTAATGGCTCTTACTGCTGGTCTTACATTTTTATAAATGATTTTTTAATTATGCTTTTTAAACTTCTTGCTTGGTATATAGAAATATATTTTGTATTGGTTTTACAGCAGTACTGAGACCTTGCTAATCTCTCTCATTCTAATAATTTCTCTATAGATCCTTTTGAGTTTCCTTGGTTGTTTTTATTTAGTCGCTGAGCTGTGTCCAACTCTTTCCTGACCCCATGGACTATATAGCCTGCCAGGTTCCTCTGTCCGTGGGATTCTCCAGGCAAGAATACTAGAGTGGGTTGCCATTTCCTCCTCCAGGGGATCTTCCTGGCCCAGGGATTGAACCCGCATCTCCTGCAATGGCAGGCGGATTCTTTACCACTGAGCTACCTTACTGACATAAATCATTTGTGAATAATGGTATTTTTGTTCTTTTTTCCTTCCTGGTCTTTTGATCTTTAATTTCTTTTCTATATCTTTTGAACTGACTGGAACCTCAAGTATAATACTGAATAGAAAGCATGATAATGGGACATCCTTCTCTTATCTCCGATTTTTTAAGGGGAATGCTTTTAATGTTTCACCATTACACATGATGTTTGCTGTGGGTTTTTTGTTTATTTGTAGATGCCATTTATCAAATTAGGAGTACCCTTCTGTTCCTGATTTCTTAAGACTTTTCTTCTTTTTTAACATTGGGTTTTTAAATGAGAGCTTTTTCTGCATTGATTTTGACAATATTTTTCCCCTTAGATTTATTAGTAAGGGGCATTGCATTATAGATTTTCTGATATTGAACTAATCTTGCAACCTGGATAAACTCATCTTGGTAAATGACATACTCTCTTTTTAACACTGCTGATTTGGATTGCTAATTTTAGAATTTTTATATTTCCATTTATGAGTGAGAATGGGCTATAACTTTTCTTTTTGTAATGTCCTTGAAAATTTTTAGTATCAGTGTTGTACTGGCCTCAAAAATCAGAGAGAAAATGTTCTTACTTTTTCCATTCTCAGAAGAGTTGAAATAAAAGTGGAATTATCTATTCCTTGAATGTTTGGTAGAATTTACTGGTAAAACCAGACGTACTTGAATGTTTTCTTTATGGGGAGACTTCTAATTATCATTTCAAATTCTTTAATACTTTATAGGACTATTGAGGTTTGTTTCTTATTGAGTTTTGTTAATTTTTATTTTTGTGGAACTTTCCCCTTGGTCTACATTTTCCAGTTTATTGACATAAAATTATTTATAACTGTCCCCTATTATCTTTCTGATCTTTGTAATGGTGGCCCCATTTTTGTTCCTAATATTCTTTATCTGTCTTTTCCTTTCTCAGCCTGGCTGGAGTTTTTTAAATTTTATTAGTTCTTTCAAAGAAGCAGTTATTAGCTTTGTTTATCAGACCATGTATTTTATCTTTGTTTTCAGTTTCATTAAATCCTGCTCATATCTCTATTATTTTCTTCCTTCTACTTTCTTTGGGTCTTTTCTGTATCTCTTTCTCTAACTTTTAATTTCTTTTCTAATATAAGCATTTGAAGTTATACATATTCCTAATTCTTTATTTTGTGCATAGTAAAAAATTGGCAGTCATTTTCAAAATGGAAACAAGAACCTTATTCTGACTTCAGAATTGCCATTGTCAATTATATTAATAATGCTCACCATGTCAAATAATATGATTTTGATACATACATAAGAAGGTCATGCTTACCAGTGTTGTTTTAATGTCATCTTGTTTCATGTAGGATTCACCTTTATTTGATCTTATTAAACAAGCAAAGGACCGAGAAGGACCAGGTGATCACTTTGAACCTGCCTGTACTCTCAACCTTCCTCTCCAGAATAATCACACTGCAGCAGATATGTGAGTGAAATCTGTTGTTGTCCATTCAGCTCACAAAAGGATTCTGAGCATAGTGTGATACAAGCTGGTATGCAAAAGCATAACAGAATAGAATTTTACGTAAGACATTGTTCCTGCTTTCAAGAATCAGAAATATATGATACATGACCCAAAGAAAGGCCATATACAGCGGTACAGAGTACTACTGAAATCACTCCAGTTTAGTGTCATGAGGACAGTTTTCATTCAGTGATGACGATTTAGATAGTCCTCAAAGGTAGACTAGAATTTCAACATGGAAACCAGAGAGAAGGTAGAGGACGGAGGAGACAGAAAGAGCATGAACCCCAAAGTACAACAGTCAGGAAAGCAGGAAACATTTTTCCAGAAGTGCAGCTCAGTGCCTTCATAGTGAAGCATAGGATGGGCATGGGATCCCCTGTAGAAGAAACTGGCAGCCCACTCCAGTATTCTTGCCTGGGAAACCCCATGGACAGAGGAGTCTGGCGGGCTACAGTCTATGGGGTCGCAAAGAGTCGGACACAACTGAGCGACTGAAACCACCCTAGGATGGGCATAGGGAGTACGCGGTGCAAACAGGAAACTAAAGTGGTTGATGAGTGCCTCGTGACGTGCTAGAAGAACAATGCAATTGCTAACCTTTTTTGAAGACTCACTCAGTGCTTGAGAATTACCAAACAGCCCTGTAAGGTAATAGACACTGTATCAGCCTTCATTATTTATGAAAAAGGAATTAGGGAAATAAGGTAACTTACCAAAAGCCAACAGAAATCAGATCCGAGCAGTCTGACCCCAAAGCCCATGCTCTGAAACATTCCAGCTGCATTGCCTTTCACAGGAATGTGTGTAATGTTATGTTTCTGTTTAGTTCTGTGCAAGAATTGATATTACACAGCTCTATGACGCGTGCAGGGGCTGTTTTCCAACGGTGCCATTTCCATGCTAATTTGTATCCAGAGTATTTCTAGTGTGTGAAACCTCTGCCTTCATGTATAACTTAGCTTGCTAGGTAATACGTAAATATGAGTATGACAAGCCTTATCTTTTTCTTTAATTCAATAAGCAGTTGACTGTTGGGTGCCAGGAAGCATTTTAGGCACTGAGAATACAAAGGCATGTAAGATGGATTAGGGCCTTTCCTTCACAGAACTTACATTCTGAAGAAAGGAAATAAACAGTGAACAAGGAAACTAATATTTAAGGTGACCTTAGTGTATAATAAGTTCTGTAATGGAAATAAACAGAATGATGTGAAAGTGAGGAGCTGAGAGAGTGATAGAATGTTTAGGGAAGCTTTCTCTATTGAAATGATATTCGACCTGAGACTTCAAGAACAAATGGATGCTGGCCTGCCAAAATCTGTATGGTGTGCATTCCAGGCAGAGCAGACAGTGAGTGCAGTGTCCCTGGGTGATCAAACTTACCTGGTCTTAGGAATAGAAAGAAACCCCAAAGCAAACAAGAGGAGGGTGGTACAAGATGAGGCTGGAAAGGCAGACTGCGGCTAGACCTTGTAGAGTCTCATCAGCCGCCGAGAGGAGTTCAGATTTTAAAAGGCTGTGGGAAAGCATTAAGGTTTTAAGCAGAGGGGCAGCTTGGTGTAATTTGTATTTTTAAAGGGCCACTTTCTGGCTGCCATTTGAAGTACAGATGGGGTAAGAGGAGAGAAAAGAACAGGGCAAGGAAGAAAGTAGAAAGACCCAGTTTGGAGACAATTTCAATAGTCCAAATGAGAGATGTAAATAAATGAATTGGTCTAAGAAATGTCAGTCCTAAAGGAGATCAGTCCTGGGTATTCATTGTAAGGACTGATGCTGAAGCTGAAACTCCAATACTTTGGCCACCTCATGTGAAGAGTTGACTCACTGGAAAAGACCCTGATGCTGGGAGGGATTGGGGGCAGGAGGAGAAGGGGCGACAGAGGATGAGATGGCTGCATGGCATCACCAACTCCATGGACATGAGTTTGAGTAAAATCCGGGAGTTGGTGATGGACAAGGATGCCAGGCGTGCTGCGATTCATGGGGTTGCAAAGAGTCGGACACAACTGAGTGACTGAACTGAACTGAACTGAAGAGATATCAGTAGAGATACAAAGAAATGGAAAATGTCTGGGGTATGTTTCTAGAGGGAGAACTTTCTTTTCCATTGGATTTGAAGATTGGGGAAAGGAAAAAATTTAAAACATCTCCTAAGTTTTTGACTTAAGAAACTGGTTGTAATACAGAGCCATTTCTTGAGATGGGAAAAATGGTGAAATGAAGAGCTCTACTCTGGCCTTCTTAAGTCTGAGATTCAGGAAGCAAAGTAAGTATTATCCTGCTTGAAAGTGAAAGTGAAGTCGCTCAGTCGCGCCCGACTCTTTGTGACCCCATGGACTGTAGCCTACCAGGCTTCTCTGTCCATGGGATTTTCCAGGCAAGAATACTGGAGTGGGTTGCCATTTCCTTCTCCAGGAGATCTTCCTGACCCAGGGATTGAACCCGGGTCTCCCACATTGTAGGCAGACACTTTACCGTCTGATTATTACCTATTATCCAGCAGGTAATATTTTCACTTGGAATTTGAGGGAGACTAACTTCTACCCAAGTTAAGTCAGTGTACAGTATTGCTAGTGAATTGAAGGTAAATTCGAGGGTGATAGACTAGACTCCTGGTACTTATAAAATCGTGATACTGGTTCCCTTTTTCTAGTGTTCTAGTTAATATATTACATGTAGTAGAAACATCCAGAGTAAGGTACAAATCCTACTTCCTGCTCAGAATTATTTCTCAGCTGTACTGAGTCACTCAGTCATGTCTGACTCTTTGCGACCCCATGGACTCTAGCCTGCCAGACTCCTCTGTCCATGGGCTTCTCCAGGCAAGAATACTGGAGTGGGTTGCCATGCCCTCCTCCAGGGGATCTTCCCAACCCAGGGATCGAACCCAGGTCTCCCACATTGCAGGTGGATTCTTTTACCATCTGATACTAAAACAGAATTAGAAGGTAGACCTGGACTATCCTCTCAAATAAAGGGCAACACAGAGCAGTGTTAGGTCAGAAACTGAGAGTTAGTATGTACTTATAGCTCTGTCTCGATTTATGCCTCACATGTTTAGTGTATGGGTGTAGACCTGCCTTGATAATGTTACCTGAAATATTAATTCATATAATTCTGTACTATATAATTTAGGAGGATGTATGTCTGTGTTACTTAAGTCTTATGTAAATGAACCATAGTTATCAGTGAAACATTTTTAAGAGAAGAATCAGAGAAATTGATATTTTAATATCAATGGCTTGTTCTTTTAAGCTGGAGTCATTTTTATTATCTCAATCCCACTTTAATTATTAAAATTGAACATACAAACATATATAGCTATTTTTTCAATAAGGCAGTAATTTCCAGGAAAGGCCAGTTATTAAAATAGGGTTAGAAATGATAACAACAAGCTTAGTTTTCCTCTTAAGCTCTCTTTTCCAACTTGTATTTAAATAGGACTTTGGTATAAAACAGTAGATTAAATAGACAGGATGTGTTTGGATGCATGTGTACAGCTGTGTGTGTTTGTGGATCTGTGAAAGAGAAATTCTGAGAAAACTTCACATGAAGACTTTTCCTTTGAATACATCTAGGTATCTTTCTCCTGTAAGATCCCCAAAGAAAAAAGGGTCAACTCCACGTGTAAATTCTACTCCAAATTCAGAGGCACAAGCAACCTCAGCCTTCCAGACTCAGAAGCCATTGAAATCTACCTCCCTTTCACTCTTTTACAAAAAAGGTTAGTAGATGATTACTTTCAAGAGCATGGACTCTGAAACGAGGCTGACTGGATTCAAATCTTATTCTTCGGCTTACTAGGTATGACTTTGGGCAAGTCACTTTAAAAGCTCTATGCCTCAGTTTCCTCATCCATAAAATGGAAATAATAATAACCTACCTTATTTGAGTTTTGAGATAATTAAATGAATGAATACATAAAATGCTTCCAACAGTGTCTAGCACATAGTAAGCACTCAAAAAGTGTCAGATGTTGTTATTGTTGCTGCTTACTGTTATGCTTTAAAATTTATGCTTGGAAATATTTGCCCCTGACATTACTTCTTCTGTTGAGGTGTGTAAGTTGAGATTATACAATGGGCTGTGGCCTAATGCAGATGCATTTCCTGGTGACCAGGTTGTACAGCATTTTCTGATTGTGTGTGATGGGGTGGGGAGGTCGTTTCGGTTTCTGTGCATGTACATTCAGGTGCACACCCACTTGAAACTCTTTGAAGAAAGGCAGAAGGCCAGATTCCTCTGTGATAAATCTTCTTTTTGACTTGAATTAAGTGAATATACTGAGCTTTATAGGCATGGTATAAGTCCTTAAATTAGAGCAGTGGTTCCAAAGTGTGGTCCCCAGCCAGCAGAATCCACCTCACTTGATAAGTTGCAGAAAGGAGAATTTTTGTTTGAGCCCCAATGCTAGAACTATTCAATCAGAGACTCTAGTAGGATGAGGAAAAAATCCTTTTTTTATCAAGTCCTCAGTGCAAGTCTGATGTAAGCCAAAGTTGAAGACCAGTGGGATAAATTATTAACTAAAAAATTCTGATTGTTTTATGCAAGTCTTTGACAGGTACATTTAAACCAGATGGAGGAAAATTCAATTTTGTGGATTACTTTTCTCCAACCTGTGTTCCAGTAGTATTTTTAAGTAAATTTGCTCAATATATTTAATATCACAGTCATATTACCACTTAGGTAATCTACAAGTCTAGCATTTTTATAGAGAAATATAAAAGACTTTTTTTTTAAATTTTCAGGATTGAAAAAATTAAGAGAGTTTGGAAATTCTGTTATTTTAAAAAGGAATTACTCTCTTGAATATTGATAGAATATTCAACATCTGTGATGAGTGATTACCAATGAAACTGAAACAAACCGTATTTGGGTTGTCTAATTTCAGAATATCTTGGGATCTTTCTTCCTCTAATTTTCACCTCTGCCTCAACTTTATCCTATAATAATTCAGCAAAAGAATTATTTTTGCTGAATAGTAGTTTCAGCAAAGTACTGTTTTGGCTTCTATGTATGTAGGACAGTCCTAAGACTAAAAATCATAAGGAAAATAGTGGGAGAAATGAAGTTAATGTTAAATGCTATTTAACAGCATTTCGTTATAATAGTTTAATGTTTTGAAAATATCTACCTGTGATACAAAATTAAGAGTGAATGTGATTAATTCCCCTTATTTTTCCAGTGTATCGACTGGCATATCTTCGACTGAATACCCTGTGTGCACGCCTTCTGTCTGACCACCCAGAACTCGAGCATATCATCTGGACCCTTTTCCAGCACACACTGCAAAATGAGTATGAACTCATGAGAGACAGGCATTTGGACCAGGTAGGGAAATTATGCACTTCTCTTCTCCTGCTTACTTGTTAGCTATGTACTGATTTCTTAAGAAAAGTTTGGATTCAAATGAGAAGCTACATCAATTTAGTTAACATATATTTGCTTACTGGCTACCCTTTATATTTTTGGTGTATTTTTTACAAATGAGAGCTTTAGAGTTTGAGACTATTTCAGTATTTACTTATTTAATGACACGACAGCTCTCATTGCAAAAACCACTGAAGAAACTTTATCATAGGTGTTTTCTGTGTTGTTGTAAACTAGAATTAATTTAGTGTGGAAAAATCATGAGACATAAGAATAGCTGATCTAAAACAGTGCCAAATGAGCTCAGGAGAGGAAAAGATAATTCTGTAGGAGATTAAATTTCCTTTTTTTTTTATTAACTAAAAGAAAGATAACAGTGCATTTTAGAGCACAGTTCAGTTCAGTCGCTCAGTCATATCCGACTCTTTGCAACCCCATGGACTGCAGCACGCCAGGCCTCCCTATCCATCACAACTCCCGGAGTTTACTCAGACTCATCATATCCACTGAGTCGGTGATGCCATCCAACCATCTCATCCTCTGAGCACAACCATGTAACAAAAGCCTGACTGTTTTTGTATCACATTTATTTACTAGATTATGATGTGTTCCATGTATGGCATATGCAAAGTGAAGAATATAGACCTTAAATTCAAAATCATTGTCACAGCATACAAAGACCTTCCTCATGCTGTTCAGGAGGTAGGTAATTTTCCATGGTAAGAGTTTTCAAAATATGTCCATATCTGTAACGTGGGTAACTTTAGTCAGTAATGGTACCATATGTTCTGACTGTGTAAATTTGTGTAAATTTGTGTAAATTTACATGTCCACTTGTTATTTTCATATTATTAGTTAATTATTTGTAATTAAAATTAACTGGGAAGCTAACACTTTAATATTATTTGTCACTTTAATGTTCAAATGTTTTAATTTGTATTATCAAATAAATAGGAAACACTGTATTGTGCCAATAAGCAGAATATTTGTAATAAACTTTAAACTTTTATATATATATAAAACATACTGTATATATGTATGACTTTTCACTTCCAGTAGAACAGCTATAATCCAAGCCTAAAATGGCTTCTTTAGATTGTTTTTTCCTATAAAGTAATGCATCTTTTTACTGTTAAAAAGTATCATGAACTATTAAAATAAAAACTCTAAAGAGATAAATTCCCAAATGCATTTAACAAGTATTTTTGCTCTTCTTCCTCAGACATTCAAACGTGTTTTGATCAGAGAAGAGGAGTATGATTCCATTATTGTATTTTATAATTCAGTCTTCATGCAGAGACTGAAAACAAATATTTTGCAGTACGCTTCCACCAGGGTATGTTGAAGGCATCCTTTATTTGGGCAAATCTACTTATAAAGCAGTGGATCTCACTAAAATGTTAAGTAATCTCCTGCTTTTGTTTTTGCTGTAGCCCCCTACCTTGTCACCGATTCCTCACATTCCTCGAAGCCCTTACAAGTTTTCTAGTTCACCTTTACGGATTCCTGGGGGGAACATCTATATATCACCCCTAAAGAATCCATATAAAATTTCAGAAGGTCTGCCTACACCAACAAAAATGACTCCAAGATCAAGGTTTGTGTTTTCTTTTTAGGAAAGCGGTAAAGAATGAGAGGGTGTTTTTTATTTAATCCAAGCATAAAACCATTAAGCTTTCTTCATTTACTACAAGCTAGTCCCTAATTTCCTAATTTATATTAAGTGATATGATAAAAATAAAAATCGGGGGTGTTGGGGGCGAGATAATCTGTTTACTTAGATGGCTTTGCAAATTTAGTCATCAACTTTCCTGGTGTCTTGGGTCTTTTGTAAACAATCCGAGTACTAGTTTGATCCTAAGTTTCAGATCACTCTCAGTTTTTTAAGTAGCCACCCTGCTAAACAAAGTAGATTCCTTTTAAGAATTTTTATTCTAGAGTTTATTGAATGTCCTGTGAACTCTTTCTGTGGATCTGTTCATCTTGCTTATGAAAATGTAGATGACTGATTAAATGTAGATGATGGTAAATGAAGTCTTTAGAAGTCTATCCCTACTTCTGCCTGCGGCCTCTTTGTATTACCTTGGGCAGGTCTCTGCTTCAGAAGGCTGCTGTGGCTCAGGTAAATGATGAGTGTGAAGCTGTTTTAAATTCTCAGATGAAAGGCTCTGTGCACCTACAAATCATTATGTTATCTTACGCATTCAACAGTGGGTGCTCTCTGGCTTTGAAGTACTTCAGCTGACTTATTATATGCTATCATGGGCTATTTGAAACTGACTTTATTTGAATAGTGGAGGCAGAATAATTAGTAAAGTTAATATACTCTCATCTCAAAAATTGTTAGCCCATATAGTTGCACTTAATGGGCAAGAAAAACAAACAGGAAGAAGGGGATATATTAATCCTATGAAAACATTAGTGTAGTGTGTTTACTTATATAAGCAATGCACACTCATAAAAATTTCAAACTGTACAGTGAAAGAAAAAGTAGAAAATAACTGGCAAATGATGTAAATGCTCTCATGTGCCCCTGTGTTATTTTCTGTATATTTGGTGTTTTTATGGTTGAGTATCTATGTACTAATATCTACAACTTACATTCTAAGCTGCTGAGGTGCACACCATGTTTAATTTATACATTGCTACAGGAAAATGTATACTTAAGTAAATTTTTAATTATGATAATTAACCCATATTATGCTGATAATGTTAGCTACTTGCTGATCTTAGTTAATTCACTTCTGGGTTGGAGTCCTTTAGCAAAAAAGTCACATTCTGAAAATCCTGATCAGCTATTAAGAGAGCATCTTAACACTCTCCTTATTCACCATATTTTGGTAAATCATATAGAATGATGGCTACTTATCAAAGAATTGGAGAACAATAAAATCCATATATCTATTGATTCATGTGCATATGATCAAATCTTTGTCATATCAGGCTAATGCTGTTCTTCAGCTTTATTATCAAGTGCATAAATTATATGATTCAAACAGGGACAAACTAAGAGATTTATGATTCTAGGATGTGTGTTAAATGTTGTTTTAGTCGCTAAGTCATGTCCGACTGTTTTGTGATGCTATGGACTGTAGCTCACCAGGCTCCTCTGTCCATGGGATTTCCCAGACAAGTATACTATAGTGGATTGCTGTTTCCTTCTCCAGAAGATCTTCCCAACCCACAGATCGAACCTACAACTCCTGCATTGACAGATGGATTCTTTATCACTGAGACACCTGGAAAGCCCACATGTTAAATAACCTTTATCATATGTCAGTATAGATCCTAATAGAATTTGGATTATCACTTACACAGTTTTACCAAATATAACTTGCATTTTTAATGAGAAAATGTGAAAAAAATTTGAATTGTTTCTTTACTCATTGATTTATGAAGAATTAAGTATGGGTAAACTTAAAATTTTCGTTTACCCTCTTTCCTTGTGAGCAATGGCAAAATATATTCTTGTAGACGTGCAGTTCTTGCTTTAAAAATCTACGGAACCAGCTCAGTGTGTGACTAGACTAGCACTACCAAAATTAGCCTTTAATGAGTATAATTCATCCGTGGTTCTAGGGGTAGAGGAAAGCTTTGATTTGGTCTTCCTGTGAGTTCAGAATGACGTGTGTATGTTCATCTCTGCATAATTGTGTATGATTTGCATCACTAATTTGTATTTTATATTAACTTGACAGAATCTTAGTATCAATCGGTGAATCATTTGGGGTGAGTATTTTTTCTGTGAATTACAATAGCATGATACCATAATTATAAAAGAATTTGAAATTTTCTGTAATTGAATTTATAAATGCTGCTATTCAAGTACCTCATTCAAGCATGTTGCATAAAATTTAGAAGATATATATCAGATTTATTTTCAAATCAGGTTTAATTTTAAATCATATTCATAATTGGTATATTTCAAAACTGCTTTTTAAACACCTTTGAAATTATATGTGTGTATACATTAATGTATATACATGCAAATATATATGTGCATTATATAGTCTCAAAGGAATGTTTTAAAAAGCGGCTTTGAATTTCACTCATTGAGAGTATGATTTAAAATACTCCAAAATGTGGTCACCACGTCCTCTTGTCACCAGCCAGTGCGTCCTGGTCCCTTCTGTATGTATACACACTTTTGCTTTTCCTTCCTCTCCAACTTCTAGGGTATTCTTCCCTGGTAAATTGATTAGGAATTGGTTACATGCCCCAGGGTAAGTGACAGACTATGTGATGGTCTTTGTTGCAGAGGAGTCCAGGGGAAAGTTAAGCTTTGAAAGGGTTATCCTAGTCTGGGAGTCCACTGCTCTAACTGGCCTTTCCTTTCCATCACTAATTCACAGTCCTGTGTTCAGTGAGCGTTACTGAATGTTTCTTCCTACCACCCCCACCTATATTTGTTATTTATTGCTGCATAACAAACCACCCCCAGACTTAGGCATTTAAACCTTTTTTAACCTCATTCCTTGTGGGTCATTGAGCAGGCCTGGCTCAGCCGGGTCCAGGGTCTGGCTGTACGAGGCTGCAGTCAGCATGTCAGCTGAATCTGCAGTTATCTCCAGGCTCACCTGGAGGACCACCTTTCTCACTCAGACTCACTTGTATGGCTGTTGGCTGATCCTCAATGGCTGTTGGCTCAAGCCAACATCAGTTCCTTAACACCTGGGCTTCTCCCTCGGGTGTCGGGCTACTCACAACAGAGAGGAGGGAGGGAAGAGGGAGATAAGCAAAATTGAAGTCAGTCTTCTTGTCATATTGGAAGTGACTTGCCATCACTTTTGCTGCATTATTTTGTCAGAAGCAGGACAACACTAGGTCCAGCCCCACATTCGAGGAGACAGTGAGGCCATTCTAGCGTCTGCCTAAGCCCTGCCCCCAATGAAATAACTAGAGAGAGATACATGTTGTATACTAAAAAACCAAATGTTAATGTGTGTTACAAATAGTAAATGCGGTGACATTTAGCTCAACACAAGCTACAGCTGTCAGGCTTCACAAAGGTGATGTGGACCACATAAATAGGATTGGATCCAGATTAAGTACAGAGTAGTGGTCTTCAACTGTTTTGCTTGCCATAACCTCTGAAAGAGTTGAAAGAATGTTATACATACTTCCATATTTTAAAGCTGATAACTGGAAATCCATTTAATAGGTGTACAGAATTTCATTTCTATCCTGTTGTACATGGGCTCTAAATATATTTTCCATCAAAATCTGGTTTTGCATTTAATTTTTTTGAAACTTAGTTCATTTAATTTTTGGTAAATTAGCTAATGAAAATTAGCTTTGCATAATTAGCAAAGCTAATCCTCAGTGTCAAATCAGATTTAATTTCTATTGGAAAGTCTGATTTCATTCTAGAATCCAAATAAACATGTTAATACACATCACTGAGATAATCACCTCACTCTGGTTCTGAAATAGATGAGACAAAGTGTTTCCATGTGTTTGTCCTTTGGATAAAATAAGGTATTGTGCCCTCTTTAGCATTTTTTACCAAAGTTTTCTTTACTGTGAAAGGATTCTTCCTCAGGAGATACATATATCGAATTGCCTCTAATAGTACTTGGAAGGACTCAAATGCTTTGAGTTTTTCATATATTTAATATTTTATTTTAAACCTTTTAAGAGTTAGGAATATCAACAAATACTACATCAATGATGATTTCAAATTTATAAGCTGTATGACTTGTCAGCATGATATTCATAAAGTGAGTCCAAAATTATTATTCACTAGACACCTCTTATTGAATTCTTGTTACATTTGCTCCAGTTATGCTATGCTTAAAAAAAAAAAAAACAAGGTTCCAGAAAGCTCTTCCAGCTTTGCATGCTTCTGAGAAATAGCCCTGGTTTTGTGCATGAGAGAAACCAGGACTTTTGGAGTAGTAGTCAGAGTTGTTTGGAAGATACAGGAGGGTGTGAGAAGAGCGGGTATTTATTGGGGCAGAGTTAGGTGCAGTTAGACTGATTTTAACATTTTTCATATCTCCCGTTTGGTCCAAAAAAGCAGGAAGTTAGATGCAGATATTACCTCTGCCTGATTTTTGATCCACCTCAAACTTATAATTTGGGGTTGTTAACTACAAAATGATCTAAAATAAAGAATTCTATAATTTGTAGACTTCAGAGAAGTTCCAGAAAATAAATCAAATGGTGTGTAACAGTGACCGTGTGCTCAAAAGAAGTGCTGAAGGAAGCAACCCTCCTAAACCACTGAAAAAACTGCGCTTTGACATCGAAGGATCTGATGAAGCAGATGGAAGGTAGGGACAGTATTAGCACGTGTGTCAGGAGCTGAGCTGGTCGTCAGGAGAACCCAGAGTGGCTGCTCTGGCCCTGGCTTCTGCCAGTCTCTCTTACGCCAATTTTATTTTGGAAATTATGAGGCTTGCTCAAAATAAAAGATGTGACTGCATCCCAAAGTTAAAAAAGCACCACATAAATCTACTGAAATTCATTGAAAATATCAGATGTTTACAAATCTAATCAGGCTTTACAATGCCATGGATAGGATTTTGAGTTTTGATTAACATTAGATTTTAAAATGCTCCCTCTTGAAAAATGCTACCCTATTTTATAAGAACCACTGATAACATATCCAGGCTCATAAATTTATGACATTTGTATTTCAGATGTTTGATTTATAATCCTTTGACAGTAAAAGCTATTTACTAAAGTAAGAGCATAAATAGTCATTGAAAATGCCATAGTTTTTGGAAATTGGAGTTTTTCATTTATACATATACATATGAAATATTTTGAATTTTTAAATCTGCAGTAAACATCTCCCAGGGGAATCCAAATTTCAACAGAAACTGGCAGAAATGAGTAAGTACTTATTTGAATAAGTAAATGAACAATTGTTTACATTGCAGAAAGCCTTTTCATTATAAAAGGATAAATTTATAGAATCCCTTTAATTAACAGACTTTTTTATGCATTTAAAATATAATTCAGTCAACAATATGTTATTTACAAGTATCTGTGTATTAAATGTATGATGCAAAGTCAGGTCATCTTCATCCATCCCAACATCTACTGGCAGCAGGAAGACCAAGAAGTGAAACCACACCTTCATTACGGATGGCTGTGGCTAGAAAATATTTTAGGATAGCAGAACTGTAATGAGGAACTGTCTGAGTGCTGGATATATAGGGAGGATGTTAGAAACTTAGCATATATAAATATCATCACCTTTACTTAAAGAATCTTTTATTCTGCTATTATCGAACTTTCCTAATTTGCAAGTTTTAGAACTGGATTTCAAACAAAAGTTTTCCATTACTAGAAATCATAGTTTTGATAAAGAACACTAAATCATTTTCCAAGTTAGACTGACTTAAGTTTGGAACGTTAGTTCAGTTCAGTCACTCAGTCGTGTCTGACTCTGTGACCCCATGGACTGCAGCACGCCAGTCTTCCCTGTCCATCACCAACTCCCGGAGCTAGTTCAAACTCAAGTCCATCAAGTCGGTAATGCCATCCAACCATCTTATCCTCTGTCGTCCCCTTCTCCTTCCACCTTCAATCTTTCCCAGCATCAGGGTCTTTTCCAGTGAATCAGTTCTTCAGGTGGCCAAAGTACTGCAGTTTCAGCTTCAGCATCCGTCCTTCTGATGAATATTCAGGACTGATCTCCTTTAGGATGGACTGGTTGGATCTCCTTGCAGGCCAAGGGACTCTCAAGAGTCTTCTCCAACACCACAGTTCAAAAGCATCAATTCTTCAGTGCTCAGCTTTCTTTATAGTCCAACTCTCACATCCATACATAACTACTGGAAAAACCATAGCTTTGACTAGACTGAACTTTGTTGGCAAAATAATGTTTCTGCTTTTTAATATGCTGTCTAGGTTGGTCATAACTTTTCTTCCAAGGAGCAAGTGTCTTTTAATTTCATGGCTGCAGTCACCATCTGCAGTGATTTTGGAGCCCCCCAAAATAAAGTGTGTTACTGTTTCCATTGGAATGTTAAGGCAAATGGAATTCTCTCCTAAACTTATCTGAGGCTGTGAAAGATTAACCCAAGTAGAGTTAGATGGAAAGCACTTTAAGAAAAAGATCAGGGGACTCCCCTGGTGGTCCTGTGATTGAGATGGCACCTTCCAGTGCAGGGGGTGTGGGCGCTAAGATCCCACATGCCTCACAGCCAAAAAACCAAAACATAAAAGAGAAACAATAACAAATTCAATAAAGACTTTTAAAACTGGTCCATATTAAAAAAAAAAATCTTTAAAAAAAAAAGGAAAAAGATCTGTTTGCATAAATTGTTTGTTGTTTAGTTGCCAAGTCATGTCTGACTCTTTGAGCCTACCAGGCTCCTCTGTCCACAGAATTCTCCAGGCAGGAATACTGTAGTGGGTTGCCATTTCCTCCTCCAGGGGATCTTCCCAACCAAGGAATCGAACCTGGGTCTCCTGCATTGGCAGGTGGGTTCTTGACCACTGAGCCACCAAGAAACCACAGACTGTTATTGGACTGTCTTAGAGAGGTAGACACGAAATGTCACCAGGAAGAGGTGACATTTCCTGATAATCTGGTGCCAGATCCATTAACAGGAAACAGAGCCAGGTCTTGGAAAGAAGACAAATATTTAAGAGATAATAACAATTAAAACTGTCACCCTTAGGTCATAGGACATATCGATAAGAACAATACCAATTAAAATGTGACTTTTTAAAAAGAAGCTTTCTTTCAGTACATCTCTTATATACTAACTTTGAGATACAAAGTTTTTAAAATTACTTTTGATTTTAAACCATTTTTCTATGTATATTATTTGAAGATACTATTGAAACTAAATGTAACAAAAGTTTTTAAGTTCTTTGCTTATAAATGAATCTCTTTTTGGATTTTACATCAACTAATATACTACTGTTTTAACTTTTTTGTAGCTTTTCCTCCCCAGTGCATGAAAATAGACATGAAGCTTATATAAAATCAGGCCTTCAAAACATGTGGAAGCCTTTTGGAGCCCACAAGTATGCATTTTAAAGGGAGTAGAAAGATGTGAAAATATGAGTATTTTCTTACAGAGGAGCTCAGTTGCTGTAGTCAGTCCATTTCGCACTGACACAGTTAGCAATGACTGTGAATTCCCTCTGCCAGGCTGAAGTTCAGGGCCTTCACACAGCTAGAAAATGGAGGGGAAGTGGCAGGAGTTTTAACACATAAGGGTAAGGAATTCTCCAGGTTGCTCTTCAGCTTTCTGGAAAAACAGATCATCACACAGTGCTGGATTGCTGAGTGGAAGGACCAGAAGAGGAGACTGAGAGTCACTCTTTCTGTTCTTTACCAAGTGTGAATGTTCTTTGTGCTTCTTTATAAAGAACTCTTGCCCACCTCTAAAATCAAGTTAAGAATTTTGAAATAATTTAAAAGAAGCTTTCTGTTTTTGTCTGTGTTGTAATTAATAATGTATTTTAAAATGTCCATGTTCAAATTAAATGAGCTATAAGCTGGACTTCCCTGGTGTTCTAGCTGTTGAGTCTGCCTGCCAATGCAGGGGACATAGGTGTGATCTCTGGTCTGAGAAGATCCCACATGCTGAGGAGCAAGGAAGCGCATGCCCCACAACTGCTGAGCCTGTGCTCTAGAGACCGTGCACCGCAACTAGCAGTCCAGGCACCTAGAGCCTGCGCTCTGCAACACAGGAGGCCACCGCAGTGAGAAGCCTGTGCACCGCAACTGCAGAAAGCCCTCACAGCAATAAAGACCCAGTGTAGCCAAATTAATTAATTAAGTTAAAAAAATTATAAATGAGCTGTGAGCTGATGTGTTTGCAGTACTTGCAGTGCATCTCCAAACACAAGGGGATTCTGAACTTCATGAAGAATAACACTCACTCCAGCAGATTCTGGACCAGCCCAGGATTCTGTTTTGCTCAGATGCTGGACTTAACCACATCACCTGTAGAGCAGTGGTCTACAAAGTTGGGCACGCTTGAGTGTGTGTAAGATCACCTTGTGGGGATACATAAGACAGTATTAGAATGCTTATTTATCTTTATCTCATTGATTTTTAATGTTTGGGGTATATGTGTTTTATAATTTATACACATAAATACATACATACTTTAATGGTACATATTTTGGGAAGAAGCTGGTTGATAGGGGTATGTGACTTAAAAAATTGGAAACCACAGCTTGTGAGGTCCTGGGCTCCATCAGTTTGGTGTGAGCATAACAAATAGGGTAGCCCTTTACCAACTTAACCCCACACCATCAGTGCTGTTAACATTTCTTCATCCTTTTTTTAGCATCTACTCGAACACGAATGCAAAAGCAGAAAATGAATGAGAGCATGGATACCTCAAACAGGGAAGAAAAGTGAGGACCCCACGACCTTGGTGGGCACCCATACACATCCAGCTTCATTGTCTTTGTCTCCTACAGATCTGATTGTAGGACTCTCCCAGGTTCTGTTTACAGCCACAGTTAGTGAAGAAGGTAATACATATCTTTTTGTGGATAGCACAGTTGAGTATTTGTGCAGGGGACTCCTAAGCCACTGGCAACATTGTAGTCACTAGAACATGCATTGTTATTGTACAAGATTGAAAATCTTGTGTCTGTCGATCAAATCTTATGTCGATCCTGCCATTGAAAAAGCTGTACCAGATGTTTCTATTTCCAAAGTACAGTAAGGCCCCTACATACGAACCTTCAAGATGTGAACTTTCAAAGATGTGAACAGTTGAATCCAGTGAGGAGCCAGAACCTGTGCCGTCATCAGGCATAAAGTTGCAGCCTGCCTTCCGCCTCCTGTTGCTGATGGCCCTCCAGCTCTGCCGGCTCCCTCCTCCTGTCCCTTCTCCATCAGTAACTCCTGTTGCGTTCATGCAGTGCCAGCCTGTGTGCCAGCTGTTGTACTGTACTGCTGTAGTTTTCGAGGTACTGTACTGTGACTGAAATGTTTTATTTTTATGTGTTTTTAATTATTATTTGTGTGAAAAGTATTATAAGCCTATTATAGTACAGTACTATATAGCCAATGTGTTTGTTGGGTACCTAGGCTAACTCTGTTGGATTTATGAACAAATTGGACTTAAGAACGCACTCTTGGAATGGAACGTGTTGATACGTAGGGGTCTTACTTAATAATTGCTCTCTTTACAAATGGTGGCAGGATCCCCCAGGAGTGAGTCTCACAACCTGTGCCTATCCAAGTACTATCCAAGTCTTCTCTTGTGGCACGTATGATGTTTGCTGTTATTTTTATTAATTTATATTTATTTTTTTAATTTAACATGAGTACCCTTAGAAAATGCGTCTTGTCTTCCAAATGCAATTTGGCTGACTGCCCCCATTCACCCAAATGACCCTGAACTCTTGTGCTAAAACAGATGCTAGAAACTTAGGAGAAAATGACTGATTTTTTTACACATTAGAGTTTAGTTTACTAATGGAAACTAAATGGGTGTACTGTGTGTTTTATAAATTTTAGTTTTAAAATGCAAACAGAAGGTAAAAGTATAAACCTATGAGATACTGTCATACTACTGATACAGGTTTCATACCTCAGGACTTGTGAGAGTTTATTGATCCTTTTCTTTATCCAACTCATGCTTTAAAAATAAAGAGTTATTAATAGTACTCTTGGTTTTTATACCATTCAGATCACTGAATTCATTAAGTACCTGTCTAGTACTTGGAAAATAAAGTGTTCAGCTAGAGCTTTGCTGTCGAGGACCTGGATCCAGTACATCCCAAGGACACTTTCTGACGTTTCTGGGTCCCAAAGAATCAAGATACAAAGCAAATTTTACTCCACAAACGGACTATTAACTATAGGAGCCTTAATTTTTTTTCTTAGAGAGTTTCCTAATTGCATCTCAGCAATGATTCTCCTCTCCTGAATTTGGGAAGAGGTGTTTTTTTTTCTGCTAGAATGGTACATGTCTTCCATGTATCTTTTGAACTAGCAGTTGTCTTTTTTTTTTTAATTCAGCATGGTCTTACACTGGCACATTCAAAGCCACATTATTTCTAGTCCACAGTGCAGGTGATGAAAGGTCTTTGGGTTAGACATTAATGTTTCTCTCTGATTTTGTGCAGAAGCTTCAAATTAAAATAGCTACAGTAGAAAAAGAGGCGCTTTCCCCCTCCCCCTGACACCTAAAGGTGTAATTTAAACTATCTTGTGTGATTAACTTATTTAGAGATGGTATAATTTAAAATAGGTGGTATTTAAGGTAGCATCTACTAGCTTTTAGAAAATTACTTTCTTTAAACTGAGAGTTCTTTTTAAGAAGAAATCTGGTCTTATTTGTTAGAAAGCAAAATTTTATTTTGTGCTCAGTTAAGTTGCAAACTTAATTTTTTGACAGTTTTCTTGGTGACACAGGCACTAGAAAGCTTTATCTCACTTCCTCATTCATTTTTGCATGAATATCATACAAATCAGTTAGCTTTTAGGTCAAGGGCTTACCACATTACTGGGTCTTTTGCTAATAAGTTCATGTTAGAATTAGTGTCAGAATTTAAGGAACTTCAGAGATTGTGTATTGAGATTTCTTACATAAGACTTCAGATACTGCTTTATTGCTTTTTGTATTGGTTAAAACTGTACATTTGAAATTGCTACATTACTATTTTCTACAATTAACAATAGTTTGTCTATTTTTCAATAAATTAGTTAAGAGTCTCAGTAGTCCGATGTGGTCTTTGTATTAAGTGCAGTAACAGTCTCTTCTGTATCTAAATTCTCTCCTAGTATCTCATCCATTGTTAGCATTTAATGGGCTTTATATGCTGATGAATCCCAAATTTATTTCTCCAGCCCTGACCTCTTCACAGAAGTCAGAGCTCTCACAGCCAAAAGAACTCAATTCCTACCCCACCCAGCTTCTCAAAATATAAACCAAAATCAAACAACAAAAAAAAAACCACCACCTTGTTTCTACCCTGGTCTTTCCCCATTTTACTCAACACATACTCGCTCAAGATAAAAAAACTCGTCTTCTGTTAGCTCATGTCTGGACCACTGTTAGAGACTTCTAACTGGTCTCGGCCTCCCTCCTCACCTTTCTACTCCTTGAAGAGTGAAAATGATCCTTTTAAAGTGTAAATGGCTCGGCTGCGCTCCTCTCCTAGGGGTACTCACACTGTGGATTACTGCCTCCTTCTCGTGCTCACTCTGCTTTATCCACACTGGCCTTTTTGTCTTGTGATGCCAAGCCCATCCCTGGAGTGGGCTTTTACATTTGCTGTTCCTTCTGTCTGTAAGTGATCTTCCCCCACAATTTTGTTTAGCTTGTTTCTTCTTATCTTTCAGGGCTGTCAGCTCAGAGGTCTTCCTTGACACCCAAGCTAAAAATCCTTCCTCTGTACTGTGCTGCTGTCCTTTGAAAGTGTAACAGCATCATCACCATCAGAAATGACCTTACTCAGCTTGCCTATTGCCTGTTTACCCATCTTGGGATCAACCTGACTGGTCTCACTCACTCACTACTGTAGTTCTAGCATCCAGAAGTCCATATGCGGGGGGCGGCGCGGAAGGTGTTTTCCAAGTATATGGAAACAAATCATATTCTCTTCCTCTTTGGAGGATATCTAGCTAGAACTCCATCCACCCCTTCTTACTAACATGTACTCTGGCAGAGTGGTGACCCACTATGGAGTCTCATGAAGGGTAATCCATTTTTCATCCCTAAATAAACTTACCTGTTTTTCTCTCTGGGTGGTCCCATGTTTCCATGAAATGAGTTCATAAAAGAAAAAGGCACTGAGGAGCTTCAGAAGACTGTCAGAAAAGGGCAAGAAAGAGGAAGAGAAGGTTCGGGAAGACACTGTAAAATATAAAGGCTTTTGGTCAATGACAGCAGGCCTAGCAGGGTGAGGAGAAGCCGGAAGTGAATGAAGCCTGTGGACATCTGACCGTGACAACTGAAGCTGTGGAACGCCTCAATGTTTCTTTGCGGAGAGAGCAATAAACCTACCAGGACATGCATACACATGGTGTAAGACTGTTTTAAAATAACCCACACTGTACAGTTCCAGAAATGGGATTCTGACTTAATTAGAGACATTTGGACTCCTTGGCCTTTACCAGACCAGGTCTGCAAAAATAGATAAACAGAAAGAAACAAGGATTCAAGCGACCTCACCAGTAAAGACCAATCACTCATAGGTAAGTGTATGAATAGTAATTAAACTGTTTAGAAGTCATCCAGGTTTTAGGGTCGGCTTTGTTATGATGCCTTATCTCAGTGACTGCTTTAAAAAATTAGTTTATATGAAACAATCTGTGTGTATCTAAGAGACATAAGGTGGGTAGAATCTTGCTGCTTCTGAAGAATTAAAAAACACACGCATTTGTTCTGTTACTTACAAATGAGCACTTTATTATCAAACAGTTCGGCATCAGAACGAGGTTTCTAATTCCAAAAGAGGTTTCTTCACATAGTATCATATTGTGAAATATACGTTAGGACGCTGACACCGCAGCCTACATCCTGGTTCAGTTTCTCATTCGCAGTTGGGTAACTTGATCTAAAAAGTATAAATTTACCTCATTCGTGCTAGTGGTGCCCATGAAATGGAAGTATTAGTTCCTTTTCAGCTGCTACTTTTATAATCACACTGTGCCAAGTTAAAAGACCTGTTTTGTGGTGACATAAAAGTCAACTACAAGAGAAAACCATTTTTACTTACAGAGGCAAATCTCTTAACACAAAAGTAAAAGGACATTATGCAATTATGTAAGGCAAATCAGCCCAGGAATAACACTCTCTCAAAGATAGTATTTCATACTCAATAATTTCATATGAGAAATTAATGACTCAGAGTAAAACAGAATTAAAATTAGCCCTTGGGTCTTCAACAATTTAATTGCCAAGGCCTTTTGTGAATTCTAATTAATGCTTTAAATTAGCCACTATTCCTCAGAACAATGTACCATAATAGGAACCTCAGCTGTTTTAAATTTGTTTTGCCTAAGTTATTCCTTCATCTAGTGTTCCATAAATAAAGCTGTTCAGGCATGATTAAGATTGATAATAAGTTGAGTGCCTGCTATAGGCAAGGCACTGTGCTGGATGCTGGAAGTGTGCTAGTGAGAGCACTCCTGGTCAAGCTTCTCTGTGTGGTACCAGCCTGTTGAATATGGAAATTTGGCCAGAATAGCATACACTTAGACCCCTGTACCAAAAGTCTTCAACTTAAGTGACTTGTAAGAGGAAATGGTAAATATAGTAAGACATTTCAATTTTTTCCCCTTGCGCTTAGTCCCATCTGAACAGAGCATTTAATGCCTTCTCTTGTAGACAGTGGATTTCAGAAGCGGGGGAAGACTCACCACCATCCCCTTGTTTTGACAGAACATGTTCAGCCCAAATGTAGCACATCATCAACACTATTAAGAAGAAGTTATTCTCTGACTGTTGCAGGGATAGTGGAAACATTAAAACTTCTTTCCTGCAGGTGAGGGTCAGTTTTTAAAGGCTCCAACTCTGCTTGCTTTGCTGATAAAGTTCTTCAAGAGATCATGGTCCATTTCTGCAAAGCCCGAAGTCTGTGTTACTACAGTCAAATGGTTTATGCAAAACCTGAAGCAGAATTCTTCTAAGTCCTAGGGACGACAACAGAAATATTTTAGCAAATTCACATATCCTGATGCAATGCAACATAGCACAAAAATTCCTAAAACACAAAGGTGAGGAAAGAGGATTTGATGGCCAACAGAAAGAAATGCTGGGATAGCAGTACCTAAAGAATAGCTGTAAAACTATACAGCTGATGTGAGTCTATGCTTGTAAAAATGTAAATAACAGAGGAAAGCATTCAAGTTCCTCCACACTAACCAATGCAAAAAATGAGACATTTTCTTCCCAGAGATAGGCACCGATGTGTATTGTTCATTCCTCTTTCACTATTTATTTAGAGTACAACACTCTTTTTTGTTGTGTAATAAATGTTTCTTTATTGTGTGAATGTATAGAGTAAATTGACTAAAAGATTTTCTTTATGGTGAGCCCAACACTCCTCTTTTAGTCTTCTGGGGCTTAAATAGTTCTACCTGTAAAGAATTTGTGAGGAAAGCTTATGCCATGTAAGAGTCATCTGGGAAACTGCTTCTCTGAAGTCATGAACAGACCACTGCTCTTTCTCCTTCACAAGAAGACAAGGCTGGGATGGTTAGGCTTCATCAGATCACACGGAGCTTTAGTAGTCTGAAGTGGGAAAGTGCTTGGAAGAAATCACAATTTTCTGCTGAGAGAAACTCCACAGATGGAGATTTCTGGCTTACTGTAATGTACACTAGGCAAAAAAAAAAAAAAGTCCCATAGTGATTCCCTTAATTAGATCTGCAAACTTGAGAATCAGAAATCAGGTGGCTTGACACACTTCTGGCCCCAGAGAACTGAGAACTAAGTGGAGACCCTGACGGCCTCGGGCCCTGGGCTACATGGCCTGCCGCGTCTCTTTCATGTCTGTGCTCAGCTCTCCTTGGTGAGACCTCCCTTTCTTCCTCGACCACGATTTAAACCTTCAGATTTCATCTCAGTCTGGCCTCCTCCCACTGCCCTTCCCTAACTTACTTTCTTATATCACTTATCACCACCTAACAGAACACATATTGTATTAGTTTATCTATTGCCCTCACCAGCAGAAAGTTCCATGAGGGCAGAGATTTTGGTCTATTTTGTTCACTTCTTGTACCCTCAAGTGCCTAGAACAGTGTCAGGCATTTAATGGGCACTCAGTGGGTATTTGCTGAACCAGTGCATAAACACTGCTGATTTTAAAATATGGAGACAGTAGAGAATTGTGGTAGAATGTGTGCTTTTGAAATTGGTCCAATCTGGGATTGCATGCCAGTTTTAAAATTATTATTAATAGTTTACTAAGAATTTAATCTCCCAGATTCAAGCTTCCTCACTTATAAATTAGAATAATAATAATACCTATATTCTTATTGGGTTCTTTTGAGAATTAAGCACGGTATGAACTGTGCTTTGAATAATCCCTGGCTTTTATTAATTATGTATTAAGGAGTTGGTGATGAACAGGGAGGCCTGGTGTGCTGCGATTCATGGGGTCGCAAAGAGTCCGACACGACTGAGCAACTGAACTGAAGTGTAGTCAAGCGTGAGGGATAATTTGCTGAAAAGGTCCATTTCTTTTTTTGTCCATTTCTTATTAGAGTCAGCAAGTAAGAATACTAGTCACATCAAATGCACTGTTCTTTATAAACTTTTATGTGACGTAAGCACTGAGTCAATTTTATTTGTGGTCTGTCATACTAATTTAGGATATAACAATTAGTCTACCTCTAAAGGCAAAGTGGGACATTCATTAAACAAACATTTAGTGAGCACCTACTATGTGTCAGGCACTATCCTAGGCACTAGGGATCTGGCAAAACAAAGTCCTTGCCATTCCTCAAGGAGCTTGCTTTCTAGAAAACAGAGGGCTGGATGGTAAGCATTCAAATAATTCACATAAATAGGAAATGTGAAGAAGTCTTGCAAATTAAGCCTAGTTCAGAGGGAAACAGTATGTGCCCACCATCTCATCATTTGAGGCAGTCCAGAAGAGTCCAGCATTACCACCGTGACTGCAACAAACTCTTGAAAAAGCACGTAGCTACTATTTGACCATGAAGCATTCTGCGTGCTCTAAGTGCCCAATGTATTATTACCTTGATGAAAGACAAATATTCACTATGCTTTTAAATGTCCATGCTTCAAGGTAAGGAAGTTTTTTTTTTTTTTAATGTTAAGTGAAAAAAACCTAGTATTTAGAGATATACACATAACCTAGGGAAAAAATCAGAAGGAGCTGTATAAAATGTTTGTTGATGAGGCATTTCCTTCCTCATACTTTTTGTATTTTCTGAATTTTCTTTAATAAGCATATCATAAGCAGAAAAGAAGCTATACCCTTTTTTCTGCTCACTTCTAAAATGTCCCTGTTCTTTGACAAAGGAAAGGATATCCTTAAGGAAATTGACTCCAAGGAGTCTGGCCTGTTTCCTTAAGATTTAACTCTAAGACAAGTTTTCTTTATTATCAAAACAATACATGGTCACTATAGAAATTTCAGGAAAAACTAGCAAAGATAACGAAATAAAAATCATCTTCAATCCCACCAATTCAAAGGTAACCATTGACTATATTTTTCAGTCTTTTTTTCTATGTAGATAATAAATTTTGGTCTTTTTCAATTTAGCTATTTATACTAAATTTTTAAAGTTTTTATTTAACAAATATACTTATTAAAAAATAGAACCACAGTTTTTCAGTTAATGATGTATCTTGAATAGTATTAACGTCACTGTTCAGTTCAGTTCAGTTCAGTCGCTCAGTCATGTCCGACTCTGAGACCCCATGGACTGTAGCATGCCAGCCTCCCTGTCCATCACCAACTCCCCGAGTTTATTCAAACTCATGTCCATTGAGTCAGTGATGCCATCCAGCCATCTCATCCTCTGTCGTCCCCTTCTCCTCTCGCCTTCAGTCTTTCCCAGCATCAGGGTCTTTTCAAATGAGTCAGCTCTTCACATCAGGTGGTCAAAGTATTGGAGTTTCAGCTTCTACATCAGCCCTTCCAATGAACACCCAGGACTGATCTTTAGGATGGACTGGTTGGCTCTCCTTGCAGTCCAAGGGACTCTCAAGAGTCTTCTCCAACACCACAGTTCAAAAGCATCAATTCTTTAGCGCTCAGCTTTCTTTATAGTCCAACTCTCACATCCATACAGGACTACTGGAAAAACCATAGCCTTAACTAGATGGACCTTTGTTGGCAAAGTAATGTCTTTGCTTTTTAATATGCTATCTAGGTTGGTCATAACTTTCCTTCCAAGGAGTAAGCATCTTTTTATTTCATGGCTGCAATCACCATCTGCAGTGATTTTGAAGCCCCAAGAAATAGTCTGCCACTATTTCTACTGTTTCTCCATCTATTTGCCATGAAGTAATGGGACCGGATGCCATGATCTTAGTTTTCTGAATGTTGAGCTTTAAGCCAACTTTTTCACTCTCTCTCCTCTTTCACTTTCATCAAGAGGCTCTTCAGTTCTTCACTTTTTGCCATAAGGGTGGTGTCATCTGCACATCTGAGGTTGTTGTTCAGTTGCTAAGTTGTGTCCAACTCTTTGTGACCCCAAAGACTGTACCATTGTTTAAACAATTTTCTTCTAATTTTATGCTGTATTTATGGTGTTGGAGAAGACTCTTTTGGACTGCAAGGAGATCAAACCAGTCAATCCTAAAGGAAATCAGTCCTGAATATTCACTGAAAGGGCTGATGCTGAAGCTGAAGCTCCAACCCTTTGGCCACCTGATGCGCAGAACTGACTCATTTGAAAAGACCCTGATGCTGGGAAAGATTGAAGGCAGGAGGAGAAGAGCACAACAGAGGATGAGATGGTTGGATGGCAACACCCACTCGATGGACATGAGTTTGAGTAAACTCCTGGAACTGGTGATAGATAGGGAGGCCTGGCGTGCTGCAGCCCATGGGGTCGCCAAGAGTCAGAAATGACTGAACGACTGAACTGAGAACTGAGATATTTATGCTGAATTTTTTTAATTTTTAAAAATTATAAACAATGCTACAGGAAATGTCTTTGAAGCTAAATCTCTGAATCCATGATTACTTTCTTAAGATAATTTTCTATAAGTGAATTCCTTAAAGAATTAAATTTTTAAAGCTTTTATTACATATTATACCAAACTGCCCCAACTAATAATACTAATTTGCATTCTCCTCAGCAATTTAGGAGAATATCCATTATCCTGTACTATTTCTAAAAATAGATTTTCCTATTGACAACTGAAAAATTATATCTTATTTTCATTCTTAGTTTTCATTTGTTCATAAATCCATTTGGTCCATTTTTTTTTTTCCATCAAACTGCTCATGTTATTTTTTTTTTTAAGACTTATACATTAACTATGGTAAACTTGCTTCACTGTGTTAAAGATATTTTTTCCAGAGTGTCATTTATTTTCTATTTGTGTGTGTGTGTGTGCACGCGTGTGTAAACATTTTGATTTTTTGAGATCATATCTATCAATCCTTTCCTTCATGGTTTCTGCCCTTGAGCTCCATCCTAACTTTATATAAACATTCCTTTATATATTTTTTCTTTTAGTACTTTATTTAAATTAAATCTTTAAGCAGAGTTTCTTTCAGTGTAAGGTGAGCTCGTTGAAAGGATGCTCTTCTTACCTGAGCTTCATACTTCACCGCGGCCGACAGCAGCGCGATGGCATTCTCCTCGCAGATTCCTTGCTTGATAGTTTGTTGGCAGAGTTTTTTCAAACGATTTTCTCTATAAAATGTAGCCAAATCAAGCAATCCTGGTAGAAGGAGATGTTTATTAGGGGAGTGATCTCAAGTATCCTGATTTAAACTCACTCAACCCGTCAGAGATGATTTTAAATATTGTGTTGGCCAGAACTTTCTGTTCAGATTTGTCTGTAACATTGTATGGAAAACCCCACACGAACTTTTTGGCCAACCCAATGTAATCCTCAGTGAAGGGGTGTGGGAACTGGAGCTTAGGCTGACGTACACACTGTGCGCGTGTGGCTGGATCTAAGGACACGGCTGTGCTGACAGCAAGTGCAGCACTCAAACACGGAGCTGTGGGGAAACAGCAGCGAGTGAAAATGGCCTTTCCTCCGGTTACCGCCCCCCGCCCCCGCCGGAGCATCAGCACCTTCCCAGCAGCATTCACATGTGCTGTGAGAGCTTCTTCAAACACTTGCTCAGGTTTGCTTCTCCTTCAGAAGTTACTCTTCAGTCTCATGGCTGGACCATTTTTCCTGACTTCTACGTACTCGGATGCCCAAGAGTTTAGGATTCAGACTCTTATTTCACTTATTTCCCTAAATGATCTCCAGCCTCACAGTTTTAATACTGTCTGGTAAAAACCTGATGATTCTTGTTAAATTATCTGTCACCTACTTTCAAATAATACAACATAGAGTGATTTCGATGTTTAAGTTGATTTTTAAGCTACTCCAAGGGATACTGTCAGAGAAGGAAATGGCAACCCAGCCCAGTAGTCTCTTGCCATGGACAGAGGAGCCTGGCAGGCTGCAGTCCACAGGGCCGCAGAGTTGCACAGGGCTGAGCGACTCAACACGCACACAGGGACACTGTGGAAAGACTCTAATCAAGGATGGTCAGTCAGGGGGTTTCCCTGGTCATCCAGTGCCCAGGGCGCCAAGCTTCTGCTGCAGGGGGCAAGGGTCCAATTCCGAGTCAGGCAAGATCCCACATCTGCTCAGTGCAGCCAAAAAAAAGGGAATGGTCAGTCAGTCATTGTTTGAAAGGCTCTTGTCAAATGGCTTCAATTATGGCTATTTAAATCTCCATTTGAGGATTTGTTAATTACCATAAAGAATGTCACTGGTGAAGTGAGTGGCCCTCAAGTTATGTCACTTGGCTAGAGAGACTGTGAGAGTCCCCTCCACCCCTGCATGAATGGGATCCACACCATGGGCTCAGCAGTCCTACACCCTGGGAAGAATAGAACACTTGCTAGGTCCAATTCAGTCCTGGTTGCCACCTGATCAAAAGCCAGCTAAATCATGACTCTAGACTGTTGTCATGTTTACTTCAAGATAACCTTTTCATGGAAGGTACTGCATAGAGGGCCCAAAGGACACAGAGCCAGGATTTCTTCAACCTTACAGTAAGTTTTACACAATGTGGTAGATTTTAGTTGGAAACTTGCTTTTGTAACATATGACAAGTATTATCATAGAAGGAAGAAAGGCCTATGGCCCACTGGGGAAACAAACTGAAATCTTTTGAAATCTTGAGAGCTGTGAATGACCTAATTGTTTCTAGTCAGTTCTCACAACTCTCAGATTCACACTGACAGTTCCCCACACCCCAGGCACCAGACTCATATATGCGTGTGCTCACAGGTACTGCCTGGATCCTCCACTCAGGAGGGCCCAGCTCTGCATCTGCTCCAGGCAACCCCTCCCCACAGTGGCCAGGGAGCCACATGCCCGCTCCTAAACCAAACTTCGTGCACCCGGGACTCTGGGAAAGTGTGAAAGTGCTAGTCGCTCAGTCATGTCCAACTCTGCGCTCCTGTGGACTATAGCCCGCCAGGCTCCTCTGTCCATGGAATTCTCCAGGCAAGAATACTAGAGTGGGTGGCCATTTCCTGCTCTAGTGGATCTTCCTGGCCCAGGGATCCAACCGAGTCTCCTGCATTGCAAGTGGATTCTTTACCGTCTGAGCCCAGAGGGACCCTGGGACTCCCTGCCAAATCAGCCCTGAGGCCACACACGCAAGTGTTTCCTCCCCTCGACCCTGTCACCGAGGTACAGACCCCCAGTCCCAAGGGGTGGCCAGGGCAGGATGGATGGAGCATGGGGAGTAGGCTGGGTGCCCACGCGCCTCTTGTGGTGCAGGATGTAGCTGGTGGTGGGTAAACAAAGATGGCAGATACCAAGCTGGAGGCCAGGACCCTGACCTTCCTGCGCAATGGTGTCCTAGCACGCAACTCCAAGAGACCTACCCTCAATTCCAGATGAAATGCCAACCTGGCCTCTCAGTTCTTAATGAAGGTGTATTTTTCAAGGTATGAGGATTTAACACGTTTTATTTGAAGCTTTTCGCTTGACACATAACTTTAAATTTTTAGACATGTGGTATGTAGGCCTCCTTTAGACTCTTGCCCAGGGGCCTATAGAAAACCTGCCACACAGATGTCTAAAAGGCAGCTCAGACTCCTTTGATTTTTCAAACTCCAGAGCAAAACCTGGTGCTCTCCATACTCAGGCCAAACCCACCATCCTTCTCTTTCCCTCACACCCCACAACCAACCACCAACAAATTCCATCAGCTCGCTTTGTAAGATGTGTCCAGATTCTCGTCTCTTTCAACACCTCCATGCTAGACCACCTTAACCCAGGGCACCACCACCTTACATCTCAACCATTACAGTTCCTGATCTTTTCACTCCTGGAGTCGAAGCTGCCAGTGCCTCCTCCCTCCATAAAATACACAAACCCATCCTCCTTTTCTCCCCAAATCCTAGACTATGTGGCTGAGCATGGCCATCTAAAAATGACCACTCCCTGCTACTTCCTATGCAGCTAATTAAGGCCTTGGTCATCTCTGGTCCCTGGTTTAAAAGAAGTGGGACTTCCTTAGCAGACACCAGGGTTTGCCCTTGGCGCCTCGCCACTGTCCCTTTCTCCATTCTGCTGTCTGCAGTGCAGATATGGCCGTGGACGTGAATCCAAGGGCCACACGTAAGGATGCCTTGCACTGTGTCCCTGGGTGACAGAGAAACCACCTTGTTTAAGCTACTTCCTTTTTCCATTTTATTATTAAAGCAAAAACTAAATACACAACCCTCACTGTCAAAATCTTCCAAGGCTGTCTATCACATCAAGACTAAAACTCAAGCCCTTCACCGTGACCTCCAAGGCCACATCTGGTCTTGGCCAGACCCAGCTGCCTGGCCTCAGTTACCTCCACTGCCCACCTCAGTCTCTCTCTCCCCGTCCCCCTCTTCCACACGCTCCCCGTGCTCCTGTCTCAGACCCTCACACTGTCTCTTGTTTAGCATGCTCTTCGCCTGGGTGTCTGCTTGCTTTCCCCCTGCTCTCTCCTCAGCACACTTCCTCACGGAGGTCTTCCCTGATCTCCTGACTGACCCCTTTGATTTCTCGTTAAGGGCTGGCCTCCCTCCCCTGAGCACCAGCTCCACGGGGCAGGGCTCGGTCTGTCTCCCTCACAGGTGCCGAGGGGAGCGTGGCACACCGTGGGCCCTGGCCCTCCAGCACTGTGGGAGAAAGGAAGGAAAATTGGAAAACTTCAGAAATCACACTTCTGTTCACCCGAGGAAAATTAAATGCTGAGCTGGTAAAAAGTGTTACCAGCTTTACACAGGTGAAATGAATACCGAATTTTAAAATGTGAGGCTTAAACTCTTTCTTTGGTTCCTTACAGAAGCAATTCTTTAATTCTTCTGTCCCACTGGCCAATGACACTGACAGCTGTAAGCTGAAACTGAGTATGTTTTTCACCCTGTGCCCAACTGGACACCCTGTGTTGCTTTCTTACCGTCAGTAACCTTGAAGTGCCGTGAGGCACTGGACCACGGCAGTCTGTCCCAAAGAGACAGTCACAGTTATGGAGACCAGCAGGGCTTCTTATTACATGCATCTTACCATTTTTATAATGTAAATATCTTGAAGGCAGCAGGCTGTGGAAACTAAAAAGCTGTGTACAGTGTCTAGGAATTCAGGCTGAATGGCACCCACCCCACAGTGTTGATGGGTTGATAATTCACCCACCTCTCATTTTATCCATCAAGTCAACCTTTGCATGAGGCAGGAAGAAGGAGAGTTTGGGTTTAGCACACAAAAACAGAACTACTTTTGTGACTACCCTTACAGAGACTTCCTTTGAGGCTCTACATAAACCACCTTTTTGCCAAACTCTTGGTCAAGTCTGGTGGGAATTACCTACTGCCTCCTCGGGGGACAGGCTGATGTTGTCTGTGTACAGGTACTCCAGGAAGGCTCGGTAAACAGGATACGAAAATTCACTCATTTCTACAATATCATCCTCGTTGTCTTCCAATGAAGAGCGAAAATGCTCACACCTGAAGGAAGAAAGATGTCAGGTCCTGGCTTCTGGCCAAGAGCCAATAACCTTCCCAAGGAGCACGTGCTCGTAGTGATTAAAGAGGAAGCAACTAACATACAGAGAGGAAAAACACAGACCACACACCTTTATGTCCTGGCCTGGGTCCCTCGCTTCCTCTGCTGGCCAAAAGTCTGCAAACAGTGGTTTACTAGAGGAGGCTGCAAAGGCTAGCCTGCTGTGGGGCGGCCGCCTCTCTGGCCACAGACTCCCACGGGTCCCTCCCACACCATGTCCAGGGAGCAGCATTTATAGAAATCAGGTGGCTTTATTTTTAAAAATTCTGAGTAACTTTGTCCTTTCTCCTCCTGTTATGGGTTGAATTGAAACCCCAAATTCACAGACTGAAGTCCTAACCTCAGAACATAACCATATTTGGAGAAGGGATCAAATTAAAAGTAGGTCATTAGGGTGGGCCCTAAACTGATAGGACTGGTGTCCTTATAAAAAGGGGGTTTGAACACAGGGAGAGAGCCACGTGAAGACTGGAGTTATGCTGCCATAAGCCAAGGAGGGCAAAAAACTGGCAGCAAACTACCAGAAGATGGGATGGAGGATGGAACAACCTACTTCACTCAACAAGATCTTGAATTTCTAGCCTCCAAAACCATAAGAGAATAAATTTCTGTTATTGAAACCAATCAGTCTACAGAACTTTGTTACAACAGCCCTAACAAACCACAACCTCCTCATTTTTATGAAGGTTTATGGGCAAGAGTAGAGTGAACAAATAGTGCACAGCCTGGCCTTACTAAGAAGTGAACTTGAGACTGAAATACTATACTGTGTTTGTGATTCACTGCAGGAGGATTTGGATGTCTGTTACACAACAAAATGAATTTCAAAATCATTAGGCTAGAAGCAAGAAGCCAGGCAGAGAAGAATACATACTGTTTCATTACATTTACATCAACTTCTAGAAAATGCTAACTAATCTATACTGACAGAAAGAAGATCAGGGCTTGCCCCAGGGCTAGGGCCTGAGGGGTCTTTGAGGGGGGTGATGCCAGTGTTCTGTGTCCTGGTGTGGAATGGTGGTTTCCAGAAAATATACACATGTCAAAACTCCTCAGGCTGCACATTTTAAATGGATGCTCAAAAATTACCCATTAATAAAAGTTAATTTTTAAAAGTCTATCTGTTAGTTTTACCCCAAACCTTGCTGCTCTTATCTTTTTTCAAGGTCTAAACCTACGGTATCCCACAGCTGATTAAGGAGAGTGACTCTCATGGGCTGCACTCAGTCCTGGGCAGGGAGGTTCACTTAGGTCAAGCAGCCCCAACAGGGCTCAATAGATGCTCACCGCTGGCTGGATGGCTGCTCTCCAGCGCCAAGGTGGACAAGCTGTCTACAGAGTCTCTGAGGAAGCCAGTTGTGTATGCCCTGCACCACGCCCCATCCATTGTATACGACGTCTTCTATGATTTCTTGTTTCACATATAACATATTTTCCCTGCTGTACTGTCTGCTCATAAGGGCAAAAAGATCCTTACAGTTTTTCAGAATCACTGTAGTGCCTGACATAGGCTTTGCAACTAGAAAATAATAAACGTTTATTTCAATTCTCAAATGATGCCTTACCTGATTTTGAGAAGGACTTTATGCACATAAATGTACTTTCCATCCACCAGAAATTTCAGGTCTGCGGTGTTGGGGTTGTCAAATTCCCTCTTCAGGGACTCGGCCACTGTGAGGTGGTCGTCAGGTTCTAAGGGAATGACACCAGTGTTTTCCAATGAAAATGCAGGCCAAATATAGTCTCACTTTGCTCACACTCATGAAAATACTGATTTCCCAAAATAAGTGACCAACTGAGCAGTGTGCTTTTTCCCCTAAATACAGATTTCCCGCTGCTGCAATCATTATAAGAACCTCAGACACATCTGCTTGTAAATCTGGCAAAACAACTAAAGCCCCAACCACCTCACTGAATAAACATGTTGAAAGCTTGAGTAAATACACCCGCTAAAAATAAAAGCCATGGTTTCCCAGTCAAATCAAAAAGCCATCCGAAGTTCTTTGAATTTTAGTATGAGGTTTCTAATACTTTTAAGGAAAATGAATCGGTCCAGTGAGTTCTCTTTCACAGGAGCCTGTGAGAGGGAAATGAATTGCCTGATACTGCACTTAACAAAAGTCCTCACTATTGAAAAACAACAGCACCAGAGTTTTCTTCCTAGCTCTCAGGCCATCACCCAACAGACAGCAGTCAGCTCACCCACAGACAGGAGGCGCCACGTGACGGCGGGCGTGGCGAAGCAGGCGAACACGTCATCGGTGGAGGAGAAGTGCGTGAGGTGCGGCAGGGTCACCGACTGGCCGCGGCACTGGCCCCACATGTACACGTGGCCGCCCTGCGTCTTGGCGGCCGACGTGTGCGCCGAGTGGCAGGCTGCAATCTCTATAATTCTAGGTTCACAAACACACGCCAAGTAAACAGTCAACAGGAGAAGAAACAAGTCGATTTTTCCTTCCCTTAGCATTAACTGATTTAAAAAAAAACACAAACTCTTCATTAAGCCTAAGTTTGTAAATTTTCATGCACCAAACCATTATTTACATTTAAGCAATGTCTCAATACCACTTATACATCATGAAGGTCTGCTTGTTACCACTTCTAGCCAGTAGGCCGATAAAAATATGCACCTATTTTGAAACTGAAGTACAAGCCACCAGAACAGAGACTAAAAGACCAAAAAAAAAAGGTGGTTTAATTTTTCTTAAAACACTGCTTACTTAAAGCAAATCAAAAAGATGTGGGGCATCTCCACCCAGGGTCAATAAATATTTTTATCAAAACGTCACCAATTTTAGGGTTCCATGGAGCATGCTATGGGGCACCCCAACTCACACTGCAAGCAGTAAGTGCAGTAGTTCTGACCTGCAGAACGGTATCATCTAGAACCCCAGACAGCAGTTTTCTGGGACCAACCATTATGTCAGACCCTACTTCAGTAAGTTCGTGGCTGACAGGCAGATAGTTCTCAGAACACTTCCAGATGGAAACCACTGTTTTGTTGACTTGAAACTTACTGTCTTCTCTAAGACCAAGCCACCACACAGACTTAAAATAATATTTTATCCCAAGTGAGGTGCCATCCTGATTCTGCCTTGGGCAATGGTACCAGCATTCCCAGAACTTTAGGAAATTAAGGGTCATCTCTGACTTCTCCTCCATCCTCACTTGGCACTTTCTTCAGAATATCCAATTGGCAAAATAACAACAAATTCTTTTTTGGTAATGTCTCCCACTTGCCAGAGCCTCATCAAGCACACCCCAAATCCAGACAGATGTTAACTCTTAGGTCTCCATGTCTTAGACTTTCTCTCTCTTCTGACCTAAACTGCACAGTGCTGTCAAGTTAATGATTCTCTTGAAAAACCATTCTCATTACTCCTTTCAAACCTTTCACTGACTTCCCACAAGACAAAAATCCAGACACATGTCCTTAAGGCCTACTATAATTTGCCTACCGTTCATGGCCAGCTTTCTTTCATATCACCTGTGCCCACACACCCTCTGTTTGAACAAAAAGTACTCACTGCCTCTCAATGTCACTATGCACAAAGTCCTTGGTCAGGAATGTTCTTGTGCACTTTGGTGGACCTCTCTTTTCCCTGATAACAAATGTTCCTTGAAAAATGTAACTGACTGGAACACAACTGTGAACTTCTGTGCTAAACTATCCAATACCAGAAAACCAAAATAACTTTACCCCTACATTCACTTCAGAAATGTTTACCATGACCCTCCAAGAATGGGAAGCAGTCTCTGCCATTCATGCAAGGAGGCGGGATGCTGCTTCCACAGCCAGGGAGTTAAAGATCCAGAGAAGCTGCGAAGGCTGGCCGTCCCTGGGCATGGCTAGGGCATTTCCCTGGAACACCCAGTGCCACTAGGGAAGTCAGGGGTGGGGCTTGGGCTTGGCTGACCATAGCAGCTGCTACAGCAACGAGAAGGGAAAAAGTTTAGAGGAACCTTCAGGTCTGGGCTTGGGACACCAGCATCTGCCAAAGCGCCCTGCCTTTGTCTGAGGTCATCTGTCCTTCGTCTGATTCATACGAAAAAGCAAATATGGAAGTTCAAATTGTCCAGTCATACATGCAGTAGACAATAAACTGAGCTAAGGTTTACTGCCAGGAGGTCTGGCATTGTTGTTGCTTAGTCACTAAGTCATGTTGGACACTTTTGTGACCCCACAGACTAGCGTGCCATGCTCCTCTGTCCATGAAATTTTCCAGGCAAGAATACTAGAGTAGGTTGCCATTTTCTTCTCCAGGGGAATCTTCCTGACCTAGGAATAAAACCCATGTCTCCTGCATTGGCAGGTGAATTCTTTACTGCTGAGCCACGAGGGAAGCCCAGGAGGTCTGGCGTACAGCATACTTTATTTTGTAGCCAGCCATTCCTACTGGAAAAAAAGTTACGATACATTGACAATAAATGGATTTGGCGTCACCTAAATAAAACGATCCACCACAATGGCACGGCTTAATGGCTAAGAGGTATGAGAATTAAAATGGCAGAGAATGAGAAAGAATGCAAAACAGAAAACTGAAGAGCAAAAATAAGGTAATTTGTGAAGAAGAAAAACAACAGAAAAGAAATCATGACCATTACAAGATCCAGAGCAGTGTTTCTCAATTCTGCTTCTGTGAGGCCAACACAGTACTAATTATTAACACCTCAAGAAGCTACAAAATTCACAAAAATTCAAAGCAAAGTGAGTTTTGAAATCAATTTAACTCAAAATATGTTTTTATGGAACTTTAAATGCTGGTAAATCAAAGTATTGAAAATTCAGAAAGACTGGGAATGACTGAGTTAAAGAGAATCATTTTAACTATGAAAGTCACTTCTCCGTGAACATAAAATGTTAGCATTCTTCATCATAAATAGGTTTCTGTGAAAAAATATTTTAAAAATCAGGTTTTTCTTGGGTTGTTATTTGAGCAAATAAACCAGGTAGCCAGATTTTCACTTTCCGCTTCTGGGAACACGCAACCAAGACCTGATGATCCACCCCACCCTGAGTTCAATCCTATTCTTTCTAATTAGCCCAGCCTCCCCACAATGAGCCCCAAGAGTCACGAGTTCCTGAGAGGTAAGTCATAATGTTCCTGCAAAGCTTCAGTCACTGAAAAGGGCGGGGAGGTGCAGAACAAGCCCTTGCAAACCTAGAGGTTCCTCCCTTGCAATATTCGTGCGACAGAGAGCCCACAGGCTCAAAATCATCGCACGAAATTCAAGCACGAGAAACTGAGAAAAGCAGGAACATCTCATTCAAAACACTCATCCTTGATATTCTAGCCAAAATCATGTTTAGGTGGACAACATTAAGTATGCACATGTTTAGCAATTTCTACTTTTTTTTACCTATATAATTAAAAAAAACAAATGTTTTTAAGTTGTGAAGATTTTTTAAAAAGACAGAAAGGAACAGGTAACTCTCCAGTGCCAGGTATCTGGACACTCACATAACTCCCATGCCTGCGTCTCTCGCTCTCTGGCTTTCTCCCACCGAATCGCCCTATATTCCGTCCGTCCCAGCGTGACTACGGTGAGAAGACCCGACACTCGCTCTGAGCCCATCAGGACCAGCAGCACGAGGCGGGGAAAGCTGCTGGTGGGCACATGGCAGCCGATTCCATAAGCCCAAGGACAGAGGAGTTCGGGTTTATGTGAAGTGAGGCAACACCAGAAAAATGGTAAAGCGCCATGCAGATATAGCTTGTTTTTATACCCATGCTAACTCTGGTCCTTTCACACTTCTATGCCGTGTTGTCTAAATACTAAATGTCCTGAGTGACTGGATTTGCTGGCCTGAGACACTTTTGTGATTATTCAAAGCCTCAAGACGGTCTCTTCTCTTTTTATTGAGTGGCTCTGAACTATCTTTAAGAGAAATAAAAATGACATGGCTGCTTGTATCTCCTGTGTGCCTGTCAGCACAGGACCTTCATTATCTTCCCTCCTCCCCAGTTCTTTGTGTTGTTTGATTTTTTTTTCCTACTTGAATGGTTCACTGCAGCATCTGGAAACCAGCATCTGGTCCTGGGCAGTCATGGGGCAGGGAGAGATCCAGGACCACCTCCTGTGGACCCCCTCGCTGGTGTGATGCTAGGTATACTTCTGAGCTCAGCAGCAGAGCCCCGCCAGTGGCCCTCTGAGGTCCCGCAGCCATTAGGCTGCAGGAGGCCAAAGCAGACGTAGGACAGGGGTGCCTCCTATGATCCTGGGGTGCCGCATACATGGCCCTCGGCCCCCGTCTGCCACCAGTCTGTCTCTCTGTGTTGTTTAGTCGCTGAGTCTAGCCTGACTCTTTTTGCAAGCCTCACCCACCAGGCTCCTCTGTCGAGGGGATTCTCCAGGCAAGAGTAGTGGAGTGGCTTGCCGTTTCCTTCTCCATCATCCCGTTCTTACGGAGTCTAGGGTCTTACTATAAGATCAGTGGTGGGTGGGGAGGTCAATACTCGAATGAAAATCAAGGGACTGAAAATGACTGGTTCTTCATTTTCACTGTTAAATATTCTGACAGAAATACAGAAAAGAACTACATACAAATGCAAAATAACTTACCCATATATTTAAAAATCAGATATCATAGAAATTTATATGTACACTAAAAATGAAAATAGCAATACTGATTTCTATGATGTCAACCCTGGTTTAACAGAAAAGATAATGAAATGTTCGTGTTCCATGCTTCTGTGTCAAGAAATGAAGAGTGAAAAGGGAGTGATAAGGCCATGTTTGAGAAGTTCAAGAGACCTTCAAAAATAGTAGGATAATTTGGGGAAAAAAACTCTGGGGTTATGCTAATCACTTATCACAACCTTGCGGTTCAATTCCTGGGTTGGGAGATCCTCTGTAAAAGGGATAGACCACCCACTCCAGTATTCTTGGGCTTCCCGGGTGGCTCAGGTGGGAAAGAATCCACCTGCAATGCAGGAAACCTGGGTTTGATTCCTGGGCTGGGAAGATCCCCTGGAGCAGGGAACAGCTACCCACACTAGTATTCTGGCCTGGAGAATTCCACGGACAGAGAGGCCTGGCAGGCCACAGTCCCATGGGGCTGCAAAGAGTCAGACACGACTGAGTGACTTTCACTTCAGTACACAACCGTGCACGCAAGTGCACAAAACTACGTTTTAATTTTATAACCATTTGCTCTTCCTCATAGTGAGAGCCTAGGAGTTGAGGTCATGAAAAACAGCCCTACCCTTTTCAACTGGCAAATCGGATAAGTAGCTGGGTGAATGGCATTATACTCCCATCGGAGGTACTTTCATCTTCCTAAACCACAGAAGACAGACCTCAAATGTTATCAACTCCTTAAGAACGTGAAATAGAGAACAATGGGAATGAGGGGAAAGGAAACTTCTGAGTGAAAAGAATAATGCCGAAGAGCTGTTGGAGGTTTAGTCATTGTAGTTTGTATAGAGTAACTATTACAGGTATAGATGAAATATGGATGACTAAAATAGAATATTTAAAATACACTCAACCTTCCCCCAAATTCTAAAGCTAGTTTTAAAAAGGAATGAATGGTCTTGTTCAGGAATATTCTAATACTAGCAATAAATTGCCCATAATTCTGTATCATGCCTCAGTTTTATCACTGAAGAACACTGAATTCATTTTGAAAATACACATATTACCTGTCCTTTTCCAGAATGACAGGGGTAGGGTAGGACTGGTTACTTTTATTGCCAGTACCCAACTGGCCGTAAGAATTTGCGCCCCAAGCATACACTTGACCTTCATCTGTTAATACTAAAGTGTGTGCATAGCCACAGGCAACCTGAAAAGAGAAAAAACAAATCCATTCAGGCCTGCAAACAGAGCGAAACATGCTTTCCACAAGATAGGTTAAGAATCAAAAATGAAAAAGGGGCAAAAGTAGCCAGAGAGGCAGGCATTAAAGTCAGCCAACACCCCTCCAGATGTAGCTTAGGCCCCATGTGTGGTGAAAACTGCATTGAGATCAACATGAGTCCTGCAGTGACAAGAGTCCAGTTTAGCCACCTTTACTGTGGCATTCATTATGCTCACAGAGATCAAAGTGTGTGAAAGGAATAAGAAATAGATTCTTCTCTTTTTCAAGAACTACTTTCTCTTTTTATTATGAAAGTAAAACATAAATTCAATGTGAAAAAGATATAGAAAAATATAATTATGAAAGTCATCTTAAGGTCAGGATTGTTTATTTATAAAAAAAAAATATAGAAATATACATTGAAAGCTTTTTTAAAAATGATTATACTGTATAAGTAGTCCTGTATCTTTTTACTTAACAGAGCATATAGCACTATTAAAATCCTTTGTAAGCATCATTTCTGTTCATATAGATTTAATATCACTTATTTAACCATTAACTTACTGTCTGATTGGATAAATTATGCTACATCTATTATTTACCATTGTTTTCTTTTTCTTTCATTCTTTTTCTGTTTTGTCTGCTCTAAGAACTATACCTTCTATAAGTCACTTTATCTTTGGTGACTTAGTATATATGCCCTAAGAGCAGAATTACAGATCAAAGCGGGTGAATATTTTTAACGCTCTTGATACAAATTGCCAAAGTTTCCTTGGAAAAGACAATAAAAGTTTACATTCTAAGAGCTACGTGTGAGAGTGCATTGGAGATAAAAATTTTCTGATAAATATTACAACTAAATTCAGGAAAATAACTTTAACCTCTACTTCAACTTTTTATCCTGCTAAGACGACTGACCTTTTTTTAGTACACTGGTATGTCTGCCACCATAGATTTAAAAACGCACACGTAAACCCACAGGGGACATACCCGCTGGACACGAATGCCTTGGAGAGCTGCCACCCTGCAGGGGGTTGGCTGGTTGCCGCTGCTGCCGAGTCCCAGCTGCCCATTTCCATTGTAGCCCCAGACAAAGACCTGAGAGAAAACAAGAGACTCGATGCCCACAAAAGCCGAAAAGCAGTTGTGGTCTCTGTCGTGAGGCCAGCAGAACACTGAGAAGGTAGACGGGCTTTTTGAAGCGACCCATGAAATGCCTTTCTTACCTCCCCGGTGTTCACCACTGCCATCGAGCACATCTGCCCGCAGGCTATGTTCACAACCACTTTATTCTGTAAGCAGCCAGTGACTCTTCGAGGGATCGGCTGATTGGCTGTTGATCCAGACCCTACCTGCCCAGAGTTATTATAACCCCATGCAAATACCTATTTGAAAGAAGAAATCAGTAAATGAAACACGCTAATATACAGAGCGCCTCAAGTGGCACTTCTGGCCTCATTTTTGCCCTCCAAGTGCTTGATATTCATAAATTCTCACAACATAGGCAGGGAGGTTTTCACGGGATGCATTCTCATAAAATATATTACTTTATAAAATTAGGTTATTGGCATTATCTACCTAAACAGCAATAATTATAATTGAATGTCATATAATCTTTATAAAATATCTACTTTGCCTCAGTCATATTTTCTAGCATTTGGAGAATTTTTCTTTTTGTGAAGAGAAGTAACAATACATCCTTCTACATTTTGCAGTTATACAAATCCTTACCACATACAGGTACATGTCATAATATAAACACCATGACTATGAACTGCTAACAAGAGTAAGATGAATGTGAGGTTGGTGGTTATTTTAATTAAATGATCATATTTCCATGTCTTCTATAGGAATCTATATAATCTTATTGAAACCTTATGATCAGTGAGATTTAGGCTGATTATTCTCACCTCTCCATCAGATGTTAGCACCAAAGAATGGTAAGACCCACAGGCCACTTCAATGACTTGCTTGTTCGACAGATTAGTAGAGATATGATAGGGCACTAGACCAGCATTAGTTGTCCCGTTGCCCAGCTGACTGTAAGCATTATGACCCCAGGTAAAGACTTCTCCTTCTGAAAATAAAAAGAAACATAACCGACTTTCAAAACAACTACTCATTATATGAAAGTATATATATTATACACTTCCACACACGGAAACTGAAAATTCACATGTGAAAGTTAATCAACTTCCCTATTCCACAAAACTCATTTTATAAAGTAAAACACTTGGAAAGTTAAACTACATTCTGCCTCAAAGCAACAAGATGAAATTTAAATGGATGCAATTAAAATAACTGGAAGATAGGTTTTTGATAAATAACAGAGAAAAGGCTACTAAGAGGGAAAAAAAACACCCAGATTGAAATTCAAAAGACTGTAAGGCTATTTAACTTCTCTGAATCTTAATTTCCTTATTTATAAATGGTTACCAAGTTAATTTTTTAAATCTTTATTATATTACTTATTGTGCAGTATAATACATGTTCAGGGCTTTGGGGGTAATCATAAGATTGTATTTCTTGATCTGGGCGACAGAACATGGACACGTACTTTGTAATTATTTATAAAACTGTGCATATATAGTTTATGAACTTTTTTGAATATGTATTAATACTACACAATAAGGTATGTTTTAATGATAAAGTCTTATCAGTCTGAATGCATGAAAAAGCCATGAGAATATTTAATTCCTGATATTACTGACACCAATTAGAGCCATCAGTCATTGTTTAATGTCAGAATCACAGAATGTTAAGAGCTAGAGGGGATCTTAGAATCTAGTTTTAATCTCTCTGTTTGTAGATCAAGAATCTCAAGTTCAAAATGTCCAGAGTGAGGTTCAGCATTCTAATGCACAATAATTATACTTCTAAAGTAGGCTTATAGCACTGTCATTCTGACAACCAAAGTGCCAATAACTGCTAGATTCCATCGGCTACCTTTTCTTACTTTGATAGCCAGATATGTTCATATTTCATACAGTCCAAAGCATAGACCAGTTCACAGGGCAGAGCCAGAAAGCCTTGCCCAATCAAAGAGTATGTTCTCAGTGAAAGGGGTGGTCCCAGTCTTGCTCCTCAACAAATGAAGCAATGGCTAAAATTCCACCCACCCTGTGTTGCTAGGTTACCTGTTGTTGCAAGAACAATGTGTGGCCCACTCCCGTAGCTGAGGCAGGCGATTTTTTTGCCACTTAAAGAATCCAGTCTCCGAGGTTCAATGGTGCTCTGGACATCACCTAATCCCAAACAACCACAGCAGTTTGTGCCAAGCACAAAGACCTGTGGGGAAAACCACTGTTAGCTCAAGCAGTTCTATTTCCAACAAACCTGTAATTACATTCAAAACAGGCATAGTCCCCTTACAGGAAAACTGCTTCATTATTTAATAAATAAGGATTTACTCTGTGCATTTTTTTTTAATCTTAATTCCTTAGTTCCCCCAAGATCTTCAATTTAGCAAACGCATTACTAAAAATATAAGTGGCTGAAATTTATTCTTCAACATTACCTCATCATTTACTGTAGTATACAGAAGTTCATTGCTGGCACTGCCAAAGACACAGGCCTGACGAACTAACTGCAGTTCTTCCTCAGAACAAAGGGAGAAAATTGGCCACTTTCCCACATCTAACATCTTCAAAGATGACAGAGTAGCCTGGACTGGCTGAAAAAGAATTTTGTAAAAATTATTAAAAAAATGATTCATAGAAAACACATTTTCTCTGCCACCTTCTGTTATAGAGTGTGTACCGGTGTGCACACTATCTATTTCGGGGAATTGATACAGGTTCGACCACTTCGGACCGTTCTCACAACAACCAAGAGCCAGAGGCCCAGGATAGAATCAGATATCACCTATTAATTTTCCTCAAAGACACTGGAACCATCCAAAGCTGAACTCGGGGGGAGGGCGGGGCTGAATGCCTGGCAAGCACTTTCGGTGGCAGTTATGTCTTAAATGTAGCTTTGGAAAATAGGCTGGGGGTAAAAGCAGGAAAAAGAGGGAAGACTGCTGTTTCATCAGCTGCCTGAGTCTTAGCAAAAGAAGTCCTTGGGAAAGGACAGTGCCAAAGGTGACACCAAGGAATATGTCCAGAAGTTTCAGTTCATGGGTCAGTTCTAACCATTCAGTTGGAGCAGTTGGTGGGTTCCCTCAGGCACCCACTCAGATCTGGGGGCTGTAGGAAGAAACACCCAGAAAGTATGTGCATATGCTTGCTATGACTTCTATAACATATGTGCATATGTGCATATGCTTGCTATAACAACGTACCACAAACTGAGGGGCTTAAACAACAGGACTTTATTGTCTCACAGTTCTGGAGGCTAAGTTCAAAGCCAAGGTATCAGCTGGCTTGGTTCCTTCTAAGGGTTGTGAGGGGAAGATCTATCAGGCCTCTCCCTAAGGCCTGCAGAGGGCTGAATTCTCCAATGTCTTTCATATCCTCTTCCCCAGGTCTGTCTCTCTCTGTGTCTAAATTTTCCCCCTTTTATAAAGACACCAGTCATACTGGGTTAGGTCACCTTCATGACCTCATCTTAACTAAATGATTTACATCTGCAGTGACCCCATTTCCAAATAAGGTCACCTTCCAGAATAATGATGTGTCTTAGTTCCTTTGGGCTGCTAAACCAAAACATCATAGAATGAGTGGCTTATAAACAACAAAAATTTATATTTTACTGTTCTGGAGACTGGGAAGTCTGAGATCAAGGCACCGACATGATTGTGTTCTGATGAAAGTGCCCTTCCTAGTTCAGAGCCCATGTCTTCTCACTATGTCCTCATGTGGTGGAAGGGCTGGGGGTCTCTCTGGAGCCCCTTTTATAAAGCACTGATTCCGTTCATGAAGTTTCTCCTCTCATGACTTAAGCAACTTCTAAAGGCCCCGCATTCTAATGTTAAAACCATTACCTTTGGGGACTAGGATTTTAACGTATGAATTTGGAGGGGGATACAATCAAACCCAGCACAACATCCAATAAGGTTATAAGCAGCCACACTCTCTATTCAATGTGGACATGATAAAGCTTCTTTAAAGAGAGCTTTTACTTATTTGCTGTGTGGAAAGTCACTTCAGTCGTGTCCGACACTGTGTGACCCCATGCACTGTGGTCCTTCAGGCTCCTCTGTCCATGGGATTCTCCAGGCAAGACTACTGGAGTGGGCTGCCATCCCCTTTTCCACTTATTTGTTATCCTGGAAATATATACACTTACATACTTTTCAACTTCCAAAAATGTTTAAGATTACAGTAAGATTACATAATGGCCAACATGCCTATCAAATGGCATTTCCCTCAATAATCACCATGTCTTGTGCTATGCTTAGTCGCTCAATCGTGTCTGACTCTTTGCGAGCCTATGGACTGTAGCCCACCAGGCTTCTCTGTCCATGGGGATCCTCCAGGCAAGAATACCGGAGTGTGTTGCCATGCCCTCCTCGAAGGGATTTTCCCAACCCAGGAATCAAACCCAATCTCCCGCAATGCAGGCGGATTCTTTACCATCTGAGTCACCAGGGAAGCCCAAGAATACTGGAGTGGGTAGCCTATCCCTTCTCCAGGGGATCTTCCCAATCTAGGAATCGAACGAGGGTCGCCTGCATTGCGGGCGGATTCTTTACCACCTGAACCACCCAGGAAGACCCAATAATCACTATACTCTAGCTTAATGTACCTTTAAAGGAATAAAGAATTTTCTAAGGCCTGTCTTTTCTATCAGATATTAAGTCCATCTTACCAGATATATGTTCTAGTAGAGAGAAGATCAGACTAGCTAAAGGAGTCAGGGGAAATTAATTAATTTATTTATTATAAGGACTTGGCTCACAAGATTATGGAGGTGCAGAAGTCCTATATCTGCATTTGCAAACTGAAGACCCAGGAAAGCTGGTGACATAATTCAATCTGAGTCCAAAGGCCTGAGAACCAGAGGAGACAATGATGTAAACCCCAGACAGAGGGCAGAGGATGAAATGAGATCTCCCAGAAAAATCAGGGAGGGAGGCAGGGAGAAAAGGATGAATTCTTCCTTCCTCTGCCTTCTGTTCCATTCAGGTTGTCAATACACTGGAGGAAACTCGCCCACACTGAGAAGAGCAACCCATTTACTAAGTCCGCTAATTCAAGTGCTATTCTCATCTGGAAACACCCCCACAGACACAACCAGAGATGATGTTTAACCTGGGCACTAGGGGTCTACTCAAGGTGACACGTAAAGTTAACTACATGAAGACACACAGTGAAGAAGGCCATGTGAAGACAGAGGCAGAGACTAGAGCGATACAGCTACAGTCCCGGAACACCAAAGAGTGCCAGGAGCCAGCAGAAGGTGGGAGGAGGCTGGAGGACTTCTTCCCTTGAGACTTCAGAGAACGTGGCCCTGCCGACACCATGATTTCAGACTTCAAGCCCCCAGAATTGTCAGAGAATAGATTTCTGCTGTTTTACACCACCTGAATTGTGGTGCTTTGTCAGGGAGGAAATTCATGTGAAGAAACCAATACAGAGGGGAAGCAGTTTGTCAATGCTAGCAGCATCACTCTCACGAGTGGCAGAGCCTCCCCTAGTGCCAAATCTGGCCACTGCTCCCCACTACGCCACTCAAACTGCAAGATCCTGTCTGGACAGGGGTGTCTCCTATCATCTTTGGGACCCCTGTGGCGCTAATGACAGAACTTTGTTATATCAGCTTTGAGTCTAAGCTTCTACTTTAAATTACCCACCTCCTTATACTAGGAAGGAGTCTTATTTACTATGAGTGGTTCATTTTAATGTTTTTCCCCTTTTAAGTCTTTAATTTTCAGAAAGAACAATGTTTGGGATTTGGCATGAACATTTCATGGAGACATGCTAATGTGCTAGTTAAAGGGGTTCTGACATATTATTGATATTTCTCATCTTCCCAAGTGAAGGACACACACAGTGCTGTCCTCATTTCACCTGGGAGGAGCCTGAGGGTCAGAGGGACTAAGAAATTCTCCAACATCACTAGCTTCTGAGTGGATGGACCAGATTTCTTTCCAAACATCATTTGTTGCTGAGTAAAAAGTTCACATAAAAAGTGACACTCCTGGCAGACCCAGTGTTTGCTCACATTTGTAAGGCCTGGGCTGCTGTGCTCATGAAGTTTTTAGTGAACAAGGCAATGCCCACCATGAGTTGTCTTCCCAAGAACAGGATAGATGGTGACATATTACATATTACATAAGTAATATACAGTAATTGACTGCTACCTTATTTTTTCCTTTCAAGCAGATTTTTGGATTTTGATTGCTACAAAATCAAGTGGTTTCTTATATGCCTAGAATCTGGCTGTCAATCCAGCCAGCTCCTTAACACTTATCTACAAATCATTAGTTCTGAGCTTTCTTCCTGGCCCACCTCTACAAAACCTATGGTACCCAACCCATAATTCTACTGACCAATGGGATTCCAGTGTGTGGGTCTGTGACATCACCTGCAGTGGTACATTTGGTAAAGAGGGCTACTGGGTGAGAGAACATTGGGTCTGATGGTATCAGTGAACATTTACCAAGTATCAGATACCAAGACAAAAGTAATACCTAGTTATTGCCTTCACAGAGCTCACAATTTAATAGAAAACAAGTAACTACAATATAACCTAAACACAACACAAGTGTGAATATTGCTTTTTAAATCTCTGCCAGAAGGCTGGCTGCTGGAGGTGAGTCATCAAAATTTCACTTTTTTCTAATTCTGTGGGGAAACTTTTCATAGAGAACTGATGACTTCATTTATAAAATACACTTTTTTAATATACTTTTCTGAAGTAAATGTTTAATATTACTCTCAAGGAATTGAGCATCTTTGTTCTTTGAAGAAAAATACATTCTTCTGTCTGGCATAATCATGAGCATATATAGTTACATACACTGTATATATTGTATACATATACAGTATATATGTATACCGTGTGTGTGTATATATATGCATACACACACATACTTCAGGCTACAGCCCATAGGGTTGCACAGAGTCAGACATGACTAAAGTGACTTAACACACATGCACACATACACTGTATACAGTAAGAGCGTACGTAAGGATCCACACATTTTAGGAGCCTCAGTCACACCACAGCCAACCTGCATGACAGCAGGCATCTCTGCAGAAGGCACCCAACCACCTCTGGGCCCAACTGTTAAGTTAGGGACTGGCTGAACAGGAGCCAAGAGTGGGCAACTAAAAAATCTGTAGGGGAAAAATAACACTACCAGGGCATGAAAGTTTGACATTTACATCATTAAGATCATGTCCCCGGAATCTGCATCCTGACCTGGACCTTCTTTCCCCATACGACTCACCAACACAGGTGAGAATTAACCCTAAGCCAGCTCACCTTCACTACTTTGCTCATATCCAGGTCACCTCTCTCATCTTTCACAGGCATCTGTTTGGAAAGGCAAAGTGGTGAAATTTTAATATTAGCTCAAGGAAAACATAATTAAGGAAATACATCTCCATAAAGTTAGATACCAAAATGCATTTTATTATTCCTTTGAGTGTGTGCTCTCCATATTAACTCTGCTCCTGCATGCATATGAAGAACCAAGTGGATTATGATACTTAACTATGGACAATTATTAAGTTTCCACAATTCAATTTACAATACAGCATATAGAAATAGAATTAAGATTACATAGCAGGCATGCATAGTCAAAAAAAAATCCTTCAAAAATAACAGCAGATACCTCACCCTTTAAGGATTTCCTGGCAGCATAACACCATGTAATAAAGTAATTTGGTTGCTAATACTGTGAGCCTATTATTTCACCAAATCTGTTCCCAGAAAACAACATAGAAATCTTCTATGAACATTCTGTAAGACTTTCAGGTTCTATAGACTGCTTTTCAAGCTACTCTCCGACAGGAGCTCACAAACTAGCATGTCAAGTCAGCGCACAGCAATGCTATGGCTCAGGTTCACAGTGCTGTCTTGCACACTATGCCGGCTGTGATACTGATTTACGTCTTTTACGGCATTTTGACTACATTTTATTCTCTAAAAAGTGGAAAACAGAAAAATGAAAGTTAACGGCGGCAGTTAATATTAAGCTGTTAACACTGAAGAGATATTTCATATATTTAATAACATTAACACAAGATGGAGATGGATGAGACTGCTGAAAGATGTGAAACTTCTGTCAGTTGGGACACTGACCAGAGTTAAGCTGGTTGACTGTAATATTTGGATGTGACAGAAATGAAATAAAGAATACTTGAGATGAATTAAGGATGTGTCATCAAAGATTAACTATTTTGAATTTTTTTTTAAATCTCTGGCAGTGGAGCAACATTGCTCAACCCAGACCCTTCTGAGGGACAGCACTGTCTGTGGAGGGCTTCCCTGAGGATTCAGCAGAGAAGAAGCCACCTGCCAACGCAGGAGATGCGAGTTCGACCCCTGCATCAGGAAGATCCCCTAGAGAAGGACATGACAACCCACTCCAGGATTCTTGCCTGGAGAATCCCATGGACAGAGGAGCCTGGTGGGCTACAGTCCAAGGGGTTATAAACAGTCGGACTCAACTGAGCGACTAAACAGCGTTATCTGTGGAAGTGGGAGTGGCCTCCTCTTCATCCAGCTCAAATGTCACCACCTCTGGGAACCCCTCCTCTAACCCTCAGACAATCCCACATCCCCTGCTGGCCCCCAGGCATTCTCTACACCCACAACAGTGACCTGCCAGCATCTTAGCCACTACACTGTGAGCCTCGCAAAGAAAAGACACTATCTCATTGATCTTCCTATTGAATGACCAATAGATGTTTGACAAAGTTTCTTTCACATGACAGAAAATACATGCTCCACGGGCATGATTTTTCTAACCTTGCCACGTTTTCCATAGAGAGTATAGAGAAGAAAAAGGTCATCTTCCAGAAAGTCTTCCATGGTTCTGTGTAGTCCCTGAGGAAAAAGTATGTGGTAAAATCAGGATACCATGTGTTGAGTGAAACTGGGCAGGTTAAAATTACTTTACTTCTAATTAACGGTTCCCTGACACCTCAGTTGGTAAGGAATCCGCCTGCAACGTGGGAGACTTGGCTTCGATCCCTGGGTTGGGAAGATCCCCTGGAGAAGAGAAAGGCTACCTACTCCAGTATTCTGGCCTGGAGAATTCCATGGACTGTACAGTCCATGGGGTCGCAAAGAGTCACACGTGACTGAGTGACTTTCACTTTTTACTTTTCTAGTTAACAGAGAAAAGAAGCTAAGTTCAAATATAGTGAAGAGAATTAAGTTTGAGGTATGGGTGTTAACAGCTATAAAACATAAAAAATGTTTTAACTGTTGTTCTCTGATGAGACTCCTTCAGCAGAGGTGTGAAAAATAATCCCAGGATAAACATATATTCCCTAGTAGAAGATGAACATCTACTAGGGAATGAGTAGAAAATTTTCATTTCAGAGTTTACTTCCTAGAGATGAGAAAAAATAAATTTTGGACCTTGGTCAAACTTCCTCTGGGACTGGAAAGTTCCAAATCACTGTGAAGAGCAGACCTATCAATTCTCAGCTTCACTGAAGAGTATATGATTTGCTAAGTAGGGAAAAAAATGAATGAACGAAAAGGACGAAAGGATGAATGAACAAATGTGACTGTGTTACCTTAGACCTTAACAAAAAATCTGAAAAAACAGCCACCAAGCATGTAGCCATCGCACTGAATGCTCTTGCCTTAATTAACTGTCTCCACAATAACTACCTTCTACCACATACAAGTAACTAGCAGAAGCAGCCCTGTCACAAAATACGCAGGATGTCTGGACTCTGGTTAAACTGTTACACAATCATCACTGAAAATAAATAGGAACAAATATTCTCTCAAGCGTCTGCCTACAATGTGGGAGACCCAGGTTCGATCCCTGGGTTGGGAAGATCCTCTGGAGAAGGAAATGGAACCCCACTCCAGTACTCTTGCCTGGAGAATCCCATGGACAGAGGAGCCTGGTAGGCTACAGTCTATGGGGTCGCAAAGAGTCAGACACGACTGAGCGACTTCACTTCTTTCACTTTCACTTCTCCCCCCAAAAGGAATTTAATGTAATCATGTCAAACAATGTTAATACTCTGATTTACCATGTTGGCTTCTATTTACTCAAATAAAACCCAGAATTCAAGTGCTAACATCAGAACATCTTACTTGATGTTACCTATAAGCAGTTAGAGCCTAGCAATAGATAAAAGCAATCATCAAAATAAGGCTAACTCTTAACAGTGTACTTAATGTTTTATATTCACTTGAGGATACTGGTAAAATTTTGTTTTCTTCAGCTGTAAAAAGGTCTCTTAGCATATAGGGAATAATAAATGATACCTTCAGAATAATAGTTACTCAAACTATGGCAATCAATACAAATCATTACTTTTAATGTTTGGAAAAAATACACTTGTTGAGAAAAGGATCAATTAGACTTTCCTCACTTATAAATTTCTAAAATTTGATCTGGCTGCCAATATGGAAAAAATCATTTCATGTGGCAGTTACTCCTATATCATCTGTCTTCCCTATTAATCTGCAAGCTCTTTAAGAGAGGGGACCCGGAGCCCACACACTGAAACTAGAGAGTATCCCCTGCTCTCCGCAACTAGAGAAAAGCCTGTGCAGCAACGAAGATCCAGCACAGCCAAAAATAAATAGATAAGTTATAATAAAAAAGAAAAAAGAAGGAGGGGATCATGACCCAGTCACTGCTATTACCACCACAACACATGGCTCAGAGGAAAACACAAGATACTTGTCGAAAGCAGTTTTTGAATACAGCCTTTTGTTGACTGCAGACAGTCTACACTGGAATTTCTTCTCCTTTTGCCTCATCCTAACTGGAAAGATCTTTTCCATAGCTGTCCCCAGTTTATTGGAATAAAAGATAAAAAGATAGGAGAGGGAAGAGAAAAGAAAGGAGAGGAGTAGAGGAAGGGAATTCAAAGGCAAAAAAAGAAACAAGAGAAGGAAATGGAATCTAAGTAGAGAAGCGACTGCCTCTTGCTGAACTTCGGGACACCTTTGTTCCTAGCAGAAGGAAATCCTGCTAATATGCTGAGATCACTCCACAGTAATCCTGGGGTTTGTTTTGTTTCCCCACCACATTCCTCCACCACTGTAAATAACTAATTTCACTGGTTTCTGCTTTATTTCTGTTTCTTTTTGCAAAATAAGTACATATATTTATGTGTTTTTATTTCCCAATTCCTCCTTATACAAAAAATAGCATACTTTACATACTCTTTTGCAATGTTTTTTTTAACCTAACAATGTATCCCGAAAAGTACTCTATATCAGCTAATAGAAAATTTTAAACACCACCATATCCTGGCTGCTCAAGGAAACAAAATAAATAGCTCTTTTCAGTATATTTGATTAACTGCAACTACCTTAACTCTTTAAAAATTGGAATGGTGTAAAACAGGTCATTCCATTTATTTGACTAATCAGGTTAAGACATAATTACATGTATGGCAGATGAAAATTACCATACTCAAAAAAATAACATTCAGTAAGATTCAATTAACAGTAAATATATTATTAATATCACTTCATTTTTGTCAGAATGCCTTTGAAGATTTAAAAATGGTTCACAATTAATTACTATTATGCAGTACTATGGAAAAAAATGTCAAAATCTGTGGCACTGTGGAAAATGGTTTCTGTTTTTCTTTTTTCTGGTCTTGCTGCATATTACAGTAACTTAGGTCCCCTGTCAGGGATTGGACCCACACCCAAGGCAGTGTGTGGAGTCCCAACCACTGGACCACCAGGGAATTCCCTGGTTGGTTTTTTAACATTATTCCAATGTGACACAAATATAATAGAGAAAACTAGCTTCCCTAGTTTACACTACCTGAGGAATACAGTTTGTGGAATATATGTGAGGATTATAATCATCTCATCCTGTTATCTATATGATTTCACTGGGCTATTATTAATAACAATGTTACAGTAATATACTAACATCTACATCTTAAAAATCCATTAATACACATATAGAATACCACATTGATGATGTGATAAACATGAATTCTAAATAACAGGAGCAATAATAATAGTTAAAAGAAATAGTTACCCAAATTATTGCCAAACACTAACTGCCTTATCTCATTTAATCTTCATAATAGCCATTTTTAGAAACAGATATCATCATTACCTCTGTTTAACAGACATATTTCAATACTTTGACCAACAGTCACCAGCCAGTCAGGGTTGGAGCCAGGATTCATTTCAATGCCCTCGAGCTTGGACTTTCCCCTGTACTGCAGGGATATTTTAAGTTTTCTTGTGTATATTCCAGATGGTTTTATTTTGTACTGACTGGTTGGGAATATTCCCTCCAAAAATGTTTGTACCTGATTGTTTTAAATTTCTGGAGCCCAGTATTCAGTCATCTTTAATCCCGTTCCTTCTAGATCATTGTGAAGTTGTCTTCTACAGAAAGGTTAATGTGACTGAAAATAGAAATACATAAATAAATTCTATTACAGAAAAATAGAAAAGAAAAAGAACATACCATCTTGCATAGAACACACCACTGGCTTCAAAAAGCCAGTATTTATCTGAGAAAAATATAGTTTTAAAATTGTATCAGCTAAATTTACTATTAGAAAGTCAGCAGTAGAGGTGCTCAATTATAAAAAGAATTAATATTATAAAATATAACTTTCAGATATTGTAAGTTTGAGGACAAGGCTGCAACAATATGGACACTGAAACTTACCAAAAGATACTTAAAGTTTAATCTACAGTATTTCAACATAAAAACTGCAAGGGAAATCATCTGGAAAAGGAAAAAAGCAAAATTTTCAAATTTTTGAAGAGGGTATAGAAAATATCTTTATGACCTCAAGGCAGAGAAATATTTCTTAACTGAGACACAAAAGCACAAACCACAAAGAAAAGACTGTTAAATTTTACCACACTAAAGCTTAAAACTTTGGCATTATAAAAGACAAAATGAACAAAAGGAAAAACATGCCACAGAGTGGGAAAAGATATTTTCAATATACATAACTGATAGCTGGCAAATAATTTGTTTCCCTAATATATAAAGAATACCTAAAAGCAGAAAAAGAAAGACAAACAATCCAATTTAGAAATGGAAAAAGGATAGAGGCAATTCACAGAAGAAATTAACAAACATATCCACAAAAGGTATCATGGAAATGTAATCACAATGAGATAGAACTCACCAATCAGATCTGCAAAATTAAAGGGGATAATACACAGTGTTTGTGAGGATGCAGATCAAAAGGCACATTTTCCTCATATTACTGGAAGGAATGTAAACTGTTACAATCACTTTTAGAGCAACTCAACAATATTTAGACCAGAGCAGTATCTTTCAAGCTTTTTTGATACATATATGTACCTGAAAAAAAAGTTTCACAAAATAATTCTTACCCTTGCTACATGAGATACTAAGGGATATCCTCTTTCCTATTTTTTTTTTCTATTTTACATTATTCTAATCTACCTGGGAGATAGTGAAGGACTCCAGGAGATAGTGAAGGACAGGGAAGTCTGGCATGCTGCAGTTCACGGGGTCACAAAGAGTCGGATACAACTTAGCGACTGGACAACAATTCTACTCATACCCTAATTTATCCTTTTCTATTTAATTTTTCAACATTGGTTTCAGCCCACTAAGATAACTTCAAGATCATTAATAAGTCATGTCTTGGAAAACATTAGCCTAGATGGAACTCTAGAGCATATACAAAATCGTTTGCAATAGCAAAACATTAGAAATAGTGGATACAACTGATCAACAGGCTCCATCAACAAAATTTACAAATTGTGCAAACTACACAATTAAAATAAATTATCCAGAATCAACACAGATAAGTCTCCAAAACAATTCTGATCAAAAATCACTGTCATAGAATGATGCATATGATACACTATTTGATAAAGTTTTTTTTAAGACAACAATTTTTTAAACTTTATTTTTATATCTTTAAAAATATTCATTCATTTATTTATTTGGCTGTGTCCAGTCTTAGTTGCAGTACGTGGGATCTTCAGTTGCAGTGTGTAAACTCTTGGTTGTGGCATATGGGATCTAGTTCCCTGACCAGGGATTGATCCCAGGCCCCTTGCACTGGAAATGTGGAGTCTTAGCCACTGGACCACCAGGGAAGTACCAGATAACATTTTTTTCTCATGATTGATCATGTTATTAGAAGAGGGGTTGTAAGTTTCAGATTTGGGGATTGTTGACAGATTTTTCTCCAAAAGCAGTGAATTGATTTGTATTCTCACATTTAGTCACTTTAATGGCACGGTTGTATGATTATCTATGTGAGTTTAACCTCCCAGACTCTGAGACTATGTAGTATAATTGTTCAGAACTTGGATTTTGGATCCAAAGTGACCTGACCTAGAAGCCCAGCTCCCTCAAATATTGGTTATGTAATTTTAAAGCAGTGACAACTTCTACCTACAAAAAAGATAGTAATAATTGTACCTGCCTCTGGAGTAGGCCCATTCATTTAATACATATTTATTGAGCATCTAAATGCCAGACAATATTTTAGGCATGCAAGACAGAGCAGTGAACAAAACAAAGTGCTTGGTCCCAGCGTTCTTACTGACTAGTGGGGGGAGATAGACATAGACCAAACTGTCTATGTTTATATATATGTATGTTTTAAAACATGCAGAAAACAATACTATTTTATTGTGTAATGGATACTGACATACCCATGGCTGGACTTTGATGGAAATGTTTTCATAAGAAAATTCACATCAGAGGTAATGCCAAAGGCAAAATTTGCCATGTAATTCTATCAATGAATTAGTGTAATTTGGTTTTTCCAATTGACAAGAGAATTTTCAAGATTTTAATCTTAAGTTAAATTAATCATCTGAGTACAAAGGAAGGATAAGGTTACCCAATAGTAAGGAAAACAAAATTGTAGAATCAGAATAACACCATTCTAATACTGCCTTTACCGTGAACATAAGAATTCAATAAAGGCTTGATACTGACAACTCATAAACCACAATTTCTTTCATCATCAGTAAGATAAAATTCTACCAATAGCACAGGAAGATAATAACTCAATAACATAGAAAAAAAGAGAGTATCTTAAATGCCAGGGAAGAAAGATCTGAAATAGAAAAAAAGTGCATTAGAATGTGATTTTACTTCTGATCTTACTCTGCTTACAAATTTCCCCCTTTTCTGCACAGGAGGGAGACCCAGGGCAGAGGCTGGCATTTGTATTGGGAAGCTCTTCTTCATAGCAACAGTGTCACGGCATAAGATCATCCCATATGATACCCATAATATATGTTGCTTTACTGTTTTTCCTTATGTGTATTTTGGGATACATAACTTGGCTCATGTATTTACTTAATTACTCAACTTAAAAAGTGCCTTGTGCTTTGAAAAATAGTTTCTTATGCATTTCCTCATTTTGTTGAAATGTAATAAAAGAACAATGTTATTATGGAATTTTAATATGCTGATATTTTGCCTTGCAATATAAAAAGAAATGGAAGAATAAGTACCTTTTCCAGCCAGAAGCTCCTGCCACTGACATCTGCCTTCAGAGGCTCCAAACAAGATACTCAAGAGCCAATGTTCTAAGTTTTAGTAAGAGCAATTTTCTTTTTTCCCACCACACCACGTGGCACGTGGGATCATAGCTCCCTGAAAAGGAATTGAACCTGTGGCCCCTGCAGTAGAAGCACAGAGTCCTAACTACTGGACCACCAGCGAATTCCCACAAGAGTAACTCTCAAAACCAAATATATATCAACTAAGGTAATCTTCTGCATGACATTTCCTACTTTGGCTGTTTCTCTAAACTTGTATATTTCTTTTTTTTTTTTTTTAAACTTGTATATTTCTAAACTATCCCTGTATGTTTAACCTTTTTGTACTGTTGAAGGTCAGTGGACAAGAGGACAGTCTTTCAGTAACTGAACACAATAAACATACCCATTCCTAATCCTCTTGAAGAACAGATCAAATAATTCATTTCTCTGTACAAAGCATATAATAAGCAATCTCTACATGTTATTACTGGTAATCAGAATTATTCAGTGTTTGTTAATATGGCAATGTATCATATTACTTGATAATACCTCTGACCTAATGAGTTCAACTGATAAATGAGCACTCATTTGCCTAATTCATTCAACAAATATTGATTTAGTGCCTGCAGCAGGCACTAAATTGAAAGCAAATATGTAAAAAAAATAAATAACATAGAGCAAAAGGATATCCAGCTCATAGCTGCCTGTGTCAATATTACTCCAACCCAGTAGTAAGCATGGACCTTAAGCACTAATAAACTAGACACACTGTCTACGTGAGAATGCACTTTCCATATAAATTGTTATTGTGCAATTAATTAGAAGCTCCTAAATGCTGGTATCTGTTCTCTAGAAGTGATCCCAGAGGAAAAATTTAAAAAAAAGAAAATTGTTTTTTTGCAGAGAAAGGCTCAAAGCTCCCTTGGTAAAGAATCTGCTGGCAATGCAGGAGACCCTGGTTCAATCCCTGGGTTGGGAAGATCCCCTGGAGTGGTGAAAGGCTACCCACTCCAATATTCTGGCCTGGAGAGTTCCATGGAGAAGTCCATCAGGTCACAAAGGGTCAGATACGACTGAGAGTAAGCCCAGTGTTCTGTATTTTCAAAATTCAACTTCACAGTATGAAATCACCTCTAAAGCTATGCTTGAGAAACTTAATATATAAAAAAGTTTTCTTGCAATACAATGCTTAATGCTTTTTCAACAAATTTGCCCATCTGGGCAACACAGCTGATGATGCTTTTATAATCAAAGACACAGGGCATGAAGGAAAACCAATGCCTTTTAAGACACCAGCATACAGCTTACAGTATCAGCGTGTTAATGAGCTCCAGACCAAGTAAATGTCAACGGGGTAATGATGGTGCCCACCTTCATGCTTACTTGAGCCCTTAAATGGTATGTCATCTGAAAGTCAGAAATAATATAAATATGCATAAATGTTCAGTTCAGTTCAGTCGCTCAGTCATGTCTGACTCTCTGCGACCCCATGAACCGCAGCACATCAGAACTCCCTGTCCATCACCAACTCCCAGAGTTTACCCAAACCCATGTCCATTGAGTCACTGATGCCATCCAATTATCTTATCCTCTGTCATCCCCTTCTCCTCCTGACCTCAATCTTTCTCAGCATAAGGGTCTTTTCAAATGAATCAGCTCTTTGCATCAGGTGGCCAAAGTACTGGAGTTTCAGCTTCAGCATCAGTCCTTCCAATGAACACCCAGGACTGATCTCCTTTAGGATGGACTGCTTGGATCTCCTTGCAGTCCAAGGGACTCTCAAGAGTCTTCTCCAACACCACAGTTCAAAAGCATCAATTCTTCGGCGCTCAGCTTTCTTTATAGTCCAACTCTCACATCCATACATGACTACTAGAAAAACTGTAGCCTTGACTAGACGGACCTTTGTTGACAAAATAATGTGTCTGCTTTTTAATATGCTGTCTAGGTTGGTCATAACTTTCCTTCCAAGGAGTAAGTGTCTTTTAATTTCATGGCTGCAGTCACCATCTGCAGTGATTTTGGAGCCCCCAAAAATAAAGTCAGCCACTGTTTCTTCTGTTTCTCCATCTATTTGTTATAAAGTGATGGGACTGGGTGCAATGATCTTGGTTTTCTGAATGTTGAGCATTAAGCCAACTTTTTCACTCTCCTCTTTCACTTTCATTAAGAGGCTCTTTAGTCCTTCTTTACTTTCTGCCATAAGAGTGGTGTCATCTGCATATCTGAGGT